ACCTCCACACATGCTGTTTACGTTGGTATCCATACTGAATGAAAGCAGTTAATAACCCTTTAGAACCCGAACAGCCTTGTTTTTCTAACAATAATATCTGTGTCAGTATTGCTAAATTGACTTGCTAACAACCTGTCGTCGTATTCGCGTGGCTATTGTCATCAACCAGAAACAGGGTATGCTGTCATTTGACTTTTTAATTATTTTTTAAACGTTATTACTCAAAATGACAGCGCCGAAGCAGACATGACTTTTCACTGTGAAATAAGCTTTATCTATGTTGGTTGGTGATACGGATTCGCACATGTCCTTGCACTTTGAAAAGAGATGATGTCGAGGTGAGTGAAATAAGTAAACAGCAGATATATGTTTTTGGTGTTGTCGATGTTTGATGCTGTGAAACTTGGGGAAGAGCTAACAGATGAGCAAATCCTGTCACGTCATGATAGTTAACTTGGTTGGTATAGGCGAGCACATCACCGGACAGCGGTGGCGCTCTATTGATAGCGCGCTGTCTCATGGAAATAGTTGTTGAGCTGTATATAGTCAGCTAACTAATTGGTTGTTTTGTCTCGTTTCTACCGATGCAATTCATAAGGAAACGGCCCAGCTGCTTGCTATAGCTAGCTAGCTAACTAGTTAGTCTGTCAGGCAAGAAAAGTTGTGTGTACTGGTAAAGTTGGGCAGTGCTCATGACGCGTTAACCGCAGTTGGCTGTCACTTTCACTAGGTAGCCATACAGACAACCAGCTAACTAGCCACCGAAATGAAGGCTAGACTAATTTGTGTGTATTTGTTGAGCTTAGGTTAGGGTTTGTCATGTTTGCCAGGTACAGATATTCATAGTGTCACGATCGCTTACAGACGGGACGGACCAAGGCGCAGCGTGATATGCGTACATGTTTATTATACCGAATAAACACAACGACAAAACAACAAACTAAACGAAACATGAAGTCCAAGGTAGATACAAACAACATACCTTACACGGAACAAGATCCCACAACCCACTAGTGCCAATAGGCTGCCTAAGTATGGTCCCCAATCAGAGACAACGAGCTACAGCTGCCTCTGATTGGGAACCACACCGGCCAACATTGAAATAGACATACTAGATTCTACAACATAGAACTAACACAACAAGGAATACACACACCCTGACTCAACATATAAGCGTCCCCTGAGTCAGGGCGTGACAGTACCCCCCCCCCCCCCCCAAAGGTGCGGACTCCGACCGCGCAACATAAACATAACAGGGTAGGGGCCGGGTGGGCATTCCGCCTCGGAGGCGGATCCGGCTCCGGGCGTGACCACCACCTATTCTCTGCCTCCCTGTTCTGGTCTGGTCTGGTCTGGTCTGGACCTCGGCGCACTGCTTTGCCCTCTCCTTCCTCCCACGAAGTACCAAGCCCTGTCTGGACCCTGGTGTGGGAGACCCCGAACCTGGAGAGGGGCTGACGTCTGGGTCTGGACTGGAACCGCTGACTGGAGCTGAACCCGACGACGGTGGCGCGAACTGCTCTGGCTCCGGAGTAGAGCCGCTGACCGGAGCTGGATCAGGCACCGGTGGAGCGGACTGCTCTGGCTCCGGAGTGGAGCCGCTGACCGGAGCTGGACTGGACCCCGGTGGAGCGGATTGCTCTGGCTCCGGAGTGGAGCAGCTGACCGGAGCTGAACTGGGCACCGGTGGAGCGGACTGCTCTGGCTCCGGAGTGGATCCGCTGACCGGAGCTGGACTGGACCACGGTGGAGCGGATTGCTCTGGCTCCGGAGTGGAGCAGCTAACCGGAGCTGGATCAGGCACCGGTGGAGCGGACTGCTCTGGCTCTGGAGTGGAGCAGCTGACCGGTGCCGGACCAGGCACCGGTGGAACAGGCACGGGCCGTGCCGGACTGGACACACGCACCACTGGTCTGGTGCGAGGAGCAGGCACGGGCCGGACCGGACTAGGAACACGCACCACTGGCTTGATGCGAGGAGCAGGAACGGGCCGGGCCGTGCTGGCGACGCGCACCACTGGCTTGGTGCGAGGAGCAGGAACAGGCCAGGCCGGACTGGCGACGCGCACCACTGGCTTGATGCGAGGAGCAGGAACAGGCCGGGCCGGGCTGGCGACGCGCACAACTGGCTTGGTGCGAGGGGCAGGAACAGGCCGGGCCGGCCTGGCGACGCGCACCACTGGCTTGGTGCGAGGGGCAGGAACAGGCCAGGCCTACAGCTACAGCTGCCTCTGATTGGGAACCACACCGGCCAACATTGAAATAGACATACTAGATTCTACAACATAGAACTAACACAACAAGGAATACACACACCCTGACTCAACATATAAGCGTCACCTGAGTCAGGGCGTGACAGTATTCCTTGTTGTGTTAGTTCTATGTTGTAGAATATAGTATGTCTATTTCAGTGTTGGCCGGGTGTGGTTCCCAATCAGAGGCAGCTGTAGCTCGTTGTCTCTGATTGGGGACCATACTTAGGCAGCCTATTGGCACTAGTGGGTTGTGGGATCTTGTTCCGTGTGAGGTATGTTGTTTGTGTACCTTGGACTATACGTTTCGTTTCTTGTTTTGTCGTTGTGTTTACAAGTCTAGTAAACATGTATGCATATCACGCTGCGCCTTGGTCTGACACGTCTGTAAACGAACGTGACACATAGACTATACAGCGCCTCGTTTTCCTAGCATTTTACAGCTTAGCTGTCGTGTCAGGATAGTAGATTCCCGCACAGTGGAGCTCATACGATGAGTTGTATATGTGTTTACATAGCCAGCTAACATGTTGCATGATTAATTGCCCCGTTTCTACCGATGCAATTCATTTGGAAACTGTCCCAGCTTTGTAACTAATCAGCTAACATTTAGCAAACTCTGTAGTTAGTCTGTCAGGCAAGAAATCAAAGAGTTGATCGGAGGAGAGATGCGATGTGGCTACAGTGGCAGGAAGAGGGGAGCCAAGAGTGTGGCACCAAGGCGTGTGGACCGAGCTGTAACTCATTTGAAAGCAAGGGAAGTTTGAAAGGGCACAAGAGAGGGGGTGTGTGATGTGCCTCCAGAGTATAGGAACCTCCTTTGTGTGCTCTATCTGTTCTGTGCCACTCTGCAGGCATGGGGCCAGAAGTCCCATGACATGTTGTAGCCTAAATGCAAAACACTAAAGTGAAAATATGGATTTTGTCCTACACATCTTTTATTGTCTCTGAACAGTTGTTATGTTTCGTATCTTTTCTCTCTATCAAATACTTGTTGCATTCATTGAATTGTTGTCAAAGTAGGCTACTATTTCTACATTTTCTGTCAGGCCTGGTCTGTACTGAATCTTATTGAGAGAGGTTACCTACATTTGGAAATAGTCTCTGAATAGTTGTTTGCATTTTGACATTGTTACAGAAGTAAGAATCGTTGTCAATCCAATAGCCTACTTTGTGTGGGTTTTGAAACACTTTCTGAATATTGTCCTCTGGTCATATTTTGGAGAATGTATTTATTTAAATGTATTTATATTTATATTTATATTATTTATATGTAAATAATATTTAGAAGTATAGTATAGTATATTATACTTCTTACATTTTGAAGTGAGTAATTTAGTCAAATGTATTACAATGTAAATACTCTAGGGCTTTTGTTGTGTTGAGTGTTAATCATTTTTTGATAGTGTCTTTACACAATGGAGGTCAAAATGGAGGTCAAAATGAGTGATATTCCTATTGACATGAATGTGGTGTCATTTAAAATAAGAGGCTGTGCTCTTTAAAAATAAGTTAACTTCTAATTAACTTCAAATTGTCCTTTTTTTCTTGAGTCTGTTTGTTTGAAATGTGTTTTCGAAAATGAGCTTTATCTTGAAAATTCTCAGTAATCTACAGCATCATTCTAGAATTCTATTGGCATCTAACGAGTTAAAAGGACCTCATGGGCACCCTTAAAACTTTTAAACTTAATTTAAGGGGGAAATTCACCTTAAAAATGTTTTGTGCAACTGACTTAGTTAAGGAAACTTTAAGGGAAAAGATCAGAGGAAAATTAGCTGAAGGTGTTTTATGCAACCGGGTCATAAGTGATTCCCTTAAGGGTTTACCTTAAGGAATAATTTCCACTTACCTAAGGGAATTGTTTATGGGCGTTGCATAGAGCCCCTCAAACATTTCATTAGGTAAGGGGCGTAATCTAAGGGTTTTACTGTAGTTTGAAGGCATGTATGGCAAAAAGGAGTATCTGGTTACCACGGAGATGACCTAATACACTGAATGAATGTCAAAGAGATCACATTTATTTTGTGATTGCAAAATATAACTTTTACATTCAAGACAGGAGAAACGAATGGATTCAGAACACAATAAGAGGTTTATTTTAGTTACTTTAACTACTTTTATCAACTTGTTTCTATTCCTTTCTAGCACGTCAAGCTAGCTTACAGAGTAGGTAGCTAGCAAGACAGCTAGCTTACAGAGTAGGTAGCTAGCAAGACAGCTAGCTTTGTAGGCATGGATTGTGCACCTTTCATTGTTTAGCTACCTAGCTTGCTGGTGGATGTTTTCTTTTTGAAACCAGGGCAGAGGAAAGCAACATTCACCTCCACAAATGCTGTTTAGATTGTTATACAGTACATACTGAATGAAGCACTTAAGGGACCTCATGGGCACTCTTAAGTTTTTAATTGAATGGGAAAATGTTTTGTGCAACTGACTTAAAATTAAGAAACTTTAAAGGAAAAGATAAGGGGAAAATGTACTTAAGATGTTTCTGTCTCTCTCTCTCTCTCTCTCTCTCTCTCTCTCTCTCTCTCTCTCTCTCTCTCTCTCTCTCTCTCTCTCTCTCTCTCTCTCTCTCTCTCTCTTCTCTCTCTCTCTCTCTCTCTCTCTAGCATTCTACACAGAGCCTCACTTCACATTCCAGGCCCACCCCTCTAAAGTCACCTTCCTCTATGAGACTGAAGGTTACCCAGAACCAGAGGTCCGCTGGTTGGACCCGCATGGCCATAACCTCACCCATAACATCTCAGTGACCCAGTCCTCCAGGGCCCCGGGCCTTCTCCTTTCCCTCCGTACCCAGCTGGTGGTGCAGGCTGGAGGAGCAGTCAACTACACCTTCTACCTGAGGAACCAGCTCCTGGATCAGGTCATAGAGAGGCCAGTGAGCTATGGTGAGCTGATGTCCACTGAATGGTTTGATTGAATACTTAATTGATTGATTAATGATAATAGTAATACTCTTTTAAGTTACATTTTAAAAAGCGTTATAAAAAAAGATGAAAAAAAACAAACAGAAGAAAAACAATTAATGTTGAAAGCGGATTAATAAAATCAGGACAAAAAAACAACAATGAGACATATCTACAGTCCCCACTAGATTTGGGGAGGAGTAGGCCTAGTTATTATGTGGTCAGGAGTCCTTGTAATCTTATTGAGAAAGAAGCACACCTACAGATTGTTAATGCTGATTGACCTTCAAGATTACATTTTTTCCATAGCCCACAACAAATTACAGGGGAGTAGAATAGATGCTAGAACGGAAATTAGTAGTAATTTTATTTCTGTCACAACTCCACAAGACACTACTACACACAGTCCACAGATCAGCACCCCTGGAGCAGTTTGGGGGCTAAGTGCCTTGTTCAAGAGAACAACGGCAGTAGGTGACACCGGAAATACTGTGTGGTGCCCTGTACTGCTGCTGCGTTCCCATGAATCAATGGACTGTATAACTAGAATGATAGAAGCCACCTTTCGCCCATTCAGAGAACTGATGGGCATTGAACTGATTAGAGTAGGGATGTTAACCTGGACTACTGAGGGACCACGTTGTCTATGGAGACATGTTCAGTGTCTGAAACAGGGAGTGAAACGGGGAGATACTATCTGAACTTTTCCAACAAGAAACACTTCTTTTCGATTGAACACGTTGATTTGAGCATCCCTGGACATTTGTAGCTTTGTATACTGAACAAAAAAATAAACGCAACATGCAATAATTTCAACGGAATACTCCTCAGTTTCATCAGCTGTCCGGGTGGCTGGTCTCAGATGATCCCGCAGGTGAAAAAGCCAGATATGGAGGTTCTGTGCTGTCATGGTTACACATGGTCTGCGGTTGTTAGGCCGGTTGGACGTACTGCCAAAATCTCTAAAATGACATTGAGAGAAATTGGTAATTGGCTTATGGTAGAGAAATTAACATTCAATTATCTTGGAACAGCTCTGGTGGACATTCCTGCAGTCAGCGTGCCAATTGCACACTCCCTCAAAACTTGAGATTCCCAGTATGAAATTTATGCACTCACTAATTGTAAGTCGCTCTGGATAAGAGCGTCTGCTAAATGACTAAAATGTCAATTGGATCACAAAAAAAAATATGCCACACCTGTCAGGTGGATGGATTATCTTGGCAAAGGAGAAATGCTCACTAACAGGGATGTAAATAAATGTGTGCACAAAATTGGAGCGAAATAAGCTTTTTGTGCGTATGGAAAATGTCTGTTGATCTTTTATTTCAGCTCATGAAACATGATACCAACACTTTACATGGTGTGTTTATATTTCCTAGGAAACAGCTGTGCCTGTTTCCTAGGAAATATCCTAGGGAGTGATGATGTCGCCGGAGAAGATGGCTGCCATTTTACAGCCCTCTAACCAATTGTACTATTATGTGTGTTTTTTCACATTATTTGTAATTTATTCTGTATATAATGTTTCTGCCATCGTCTCTTATAACCAAAAAGAGCTTCTGGATATCAGGACAGCGATTACTCACCTCGTATTGGACGAAGATTTTTTCTTCAACGAGGCGGCCGCAAAGGTTATCCTACAGACACCCGACAAGGCCCAAATCCCCGTCATTCGCAGGAGAAAGAGACAGAGATATCGTGGACGTAGGTCGGGGTGCCTTGTAAGGATCCGACGGCGAGCGAGTAAACTGCCTCTTCCATCAATCCTATTAGCCAATCTTCAATCATTGGAAAATAAATTAGATGACCTACGATTACGCTTATCCTACCAACGGGACATTAAAAACTGTAATATCTTATGTTTCACCGAGTCGTGGCTGAACGACGACATGGACAACATACAGCTAGTGGGCTATACGCTACATCGGCAGGATAGAACGGCTGACTCCGGTAAGACAAGGGGTGGCGGTCTGTGTATATTTGTAAACAACAGCTGGTGCACAAAGTCAAATACTAAGGAAGTCTCGAGGTTTTGCCACACTATTTACCAAGAGAGTTTTCATCTATATTTTTCATAGCTGTCTATTTACCACCACAAACCAATGCTGGCATTAAGATTGCACTCAATGAGCTGTATAAGGCCATAAGCAAAGGAAAACGCTCACCCAGAGGCAGCGCTCCTAGTGGCCGGGCACTTTAATGCAGGGAAATTTAAATCCGTCCTACCTCATTTCTACCATCATGTTACATGTGCAACCAGAGGAAAAAAAACTCTAGACCACCTTTACTCCACACACAGAGACGCATACAAAGCTCTCACTCGCCCTCCATTTGGCAAATCTGACCATAACTCTATCCTCCTGATTCCTGCTTATAAGCAAAAACTAAAGCAGGAAGCACCAGTGACTTGGTTAATAAAAAAGTGGTCAGATGACGCAGATGCTAAGCTACAGGACTGTTTTGCTAGCACAGACTGGAACATGTTCCGGGATTCTTCAGATAGCATTGAGGAGTACACCACATCAGTCACTAGCTTCATCAATAAGTGCATCGATGACGTCGTCCTCACATTGACCGTACGTACATACCCCAACCAGAAGCCATGGATTACAGGCAACATCCGCATTGAGCTAAAGGGTAGAGCTGCCACTTTCAAGGAGTGGGACTCTAACCCGGACGCTTATAAGAAATCCCGCTATGCCCTCCGACGAACCATCAAACAGGCAAAGAGTCAATACAGGACTAAGATTGAATTGTACTACACGGCTCTGACGCTCGTCGGATGTGGCAGGGCTTGAAAACTATTACAGACTACAAAGGGAAGCACAGCCGCGAGCTGCCCAGTGACACAAGCCTACCAGATGAGCTAAACCACTTCTATGCTCGCTTCGAGGCAAGCAACACTGAAGCATGCATGAGAGCACCAGCTGTTCCGGATGACTATGTGATCATGCTCTCCGTAGCCGATGTGAGTAAGCCTTTTAAGCAGGTCAACATTCACAAGGCCGCAGGGCCAGACGGATTACCAGGACGTGTACTCCGAGCATGTGCTGACCAACTGGCAAGTGTCTTCACCGACATTTTCAACATGTCCCTGACTGAGTCTGTAATACCAACATGTTTCAAGCAGACCACCATAGTCCCCGTGCCCAAGGACACTAAGATAACCTGCCTAAAGGACTACTGGCCCGTAGCACTGACGTCTGTAGCCATGAAGTGCTTTGAAAGGCTGGTCATGGCTCACATCAGCACCATTATCCCAGAAACCCTAGACCCACTCCAATTTGCATATCGCCCCAACAGATCACAGATGATGCAATCTCTATTGCACTCCACACTGCCCTTTCCCACCTGGACAAGAGGAACACCTACATGAGAATGCTATTCATTGACTACAGCTCAGCGTTCAACACCATAGTGCCCTCAAAGCTCATCACTATGCTAAGGATCCTGGGACTAAACACCTCCCTCTGCAACTGGATCCTGGACTTCCTGACGGGCCGCCCCCAGGTGGTAAGGGTAGGTAACAACCTATCTTCCACGCTGATCCTCAACACGGGGGCCCCTCAGGGGTGCGTGCTCAGTCCCCTCCTGTACTCCCTGTTTACATTTACATTTTAGTCATTTAGCAGACGCTCTTATCCAGAGCGACTTACAGTTAGTGAGTGCATACATCATTTTTTATTTTTCATACCCCCATGGGAATCGAACCCACAACCCTGGCGTTGCAAACGCCATGCTCTACCAACTGAGCTACACCCCTGCCGGCCATTCCCTTCCCTACCCTGGACGACGCTGGGCCAATTGTGCGCCGCCCCATGGGTCTCCCGGTCACGGCCGGCTACGACAGAGCCTGGATTCGAACCAGGATCTCTAGTGGCACAGCTAGCACTGCGATGCAGTGCCTTAGACCACTGCGCCACTCGGGAGTTCATGTTTACACATGACTGCATGGCCAGGCACGACTCCAACACCATCATTAAGTTTGCAGACGACACAACAGTGGTAGGCCTGATCACTGACAACGATGAGACAGCCTATAGGGAGGAGGTCAGAGACCTGGCCGTGTGGTGCCAGGACAACAACCTCTCCCTCAACGTGACCAAGACAAAGGAGATGATTGTGGACTACAGGAAAAAAAAGAGGACTGAGCACGCCCCCATTCTCATCGACGGGGCTGTAGTGGAACAGGTTGAGAGCTTCAAGTTCCTTGGTGTCCACATCACCAACGAACTATCATGGTCCAAACACACCAAGACAGTCGTGAAGAGGGCACGACAAAGCCTATTCCCCCTCAGGAGACTAAAAAGATTTGGCATGGGTCCTCAGATCCTCAAAAAATTCTACAGCTGCACCATCGAGAGCATCCTGACTGGTTGCATCACCGCCTGGTATGGCAACTGCTTGGCCTCTGACCGCAAGGCACTACAGAGGGTAGTGCGTACGGCCCAGTACATCACTGGGGCAAAGCTCCCTGCCATCCAGGACCTCTATACCAGGCGGTGTCAGAGGAAGGCCCTCAGAATTGTCAAAGACTCCAGCCACCCTAGTCATAGACTGTTCTCTCTGCTACCGCACGGCAAGCGGTACCGGAGTGCCAAGTCTAGGTCCAAAAGACTTCTCAACAGCTTCTACCCCCAAGCCATAAGACTCCTGAACAGCTAATCATGGCTACCCGGACTATTTGCACTGCCCCCCCGACCCCATCCTTTTTACGCTGCTGCTACTCTGTTAAGTATTTATGCATAGTCACTTTAACTCTACCCACATGTACATATTACCTCAACTACCTCAACTAGCCGGTGCCCCCGCACATTGACTCTGCAACGGTACCCCCCTGTATATATAGCCTCCCTACTGTCACTTTATTTTACTGTATATATAGCCTCCCTACTGTCACTTTCTTTTACTTCTGCTCTTTTTTTCTCAACACTTTTTTTGTTGTTGTTTTATTCTTACTTTTTTTGTTTAAAATAAATGCACTGTTGGTTAAGGGCTGTAAGTAAGCATTTCACTGTAATGTCTGCACCTGTTGTATTCGGCGCATGTGACCAATAACATTTGATTTGATTTGATTTGATTCAAACAATAACAAAGCAGTCATCTGCCCTTTTTTGGTAAATGGCTGAGGGGTGGGGATGGAGAAATGTGACCATTCTATAAATGTCATAGACAGAGCTATGGATGCAAAGACTGGCCATTCATGAGATCAAAAATATAGTTTTAAACATGTTTTGAATACAGTGTTTGTTTACCATTATATGTTTTACTAACATGGAATAAAGCAAGCTTACAGGGCTGTTTTATTTATTTAATTAACAAAGTTATGCAACACCCAAATCCCCTCTGTGAGAAAGTAACTGGTTGTGCCACCTGTAGCTGCAATGACTGCAACCAAATGCTTCCTGTAGTTGTTGACCAATCAGGAATTTTGGCCCACTCTTGCATGCAGAACTGCTTTAACTCAGCGACATTTGTGGGTTTTCAAGCATGAACTGATTGTGTCAAGTCCTACCACAACATCTCAATTGGGATTAGGTCAGGACTTTGACTAAGCCATTCCAAAACTTTAAATGTGTTGCTTTTTTAAACAATTTTCATGTAGACTTGATTGTGTGTTTTGGATCAATGTCTTGCTGCATCAACCAGCTGTGCTTCAGCTTCAGCTCACAGACGGATGGCCTGACATTCTCCTTTAGAATCCTCTGATACAGAGCAGAATTCATGGTTCCTTCTATTAAGGCAAGTCGTCCAGATCCTGAGGAAGCAAAGCATCTCTAAACCATCACCTGCTTGACTGTTGGTATGAGGTTCTTACTGTGGTCCTCTGTAGCTCAGCTGGTAGAGCACGGCGCTTGTAACGCCAAGGTAGTGGGTTCGATCCCCGGGACCACCCATACACAAAAAAATGTATGCACGCACGACTGTAAGTCGCTTTGGATAAACGAGTCTGCTAAATGGCTTATTATTATACTGTGGGAATGCAGTGTTTGGTTTTCGCCAGACTTAATGGGACCAATCATCATGGAAGAGTGTGCCAAAGACAACAACTACAGGAAGCGTACCAGTAATTTAGCATAAGGGGGCAATTACTTTTTCACACAGGGGCATTGGGTGTTGCATAACTTTGTTTTCAGAAATAAGTGTGTACAGTGAGGGGGGAAAAGTATTTGATCCCCTGCTGATTTTGTACGTTTGCCCACTGACAAAGAAATGGTCCGTCTATAATTGTAATGGTAGGTTTATTTGAACAGTGAGGGACAGAATAACAACAAAAAAATCCAGAAAAACGCATGTCAAAAATGTTATAAATTGATTTGCATTTTAATGAGGGAAATAAGTATTTGACCCCCTCTCAATCAGAAAGCTTTCTGGCTCCCAGGTGTCTTTTTTATACAGGTAACGAGCTGAGATTAGGAGCACACTCTTAAAGGGAGTGCTCCTAATCTCAGTTTGTTACCTGTATAAAAGACACCTGTCCACAGAAGCAATCAATCAATCAGATTCCAAACTCTCTACCATGGCCAAGACAAAAGAGCTCTCCAATGATGTCAGGGACAAGATTGTAGACCTACACAAGGCTGGAATGGGCTACAAGACCATCGCCAAGCAGCTTGGTGAGAAGGTGACAACAATTGGTGCGATTATTCGCAAATGGAAGAAACACAAAAGACCTGTCAATCTCCCTCGGCCTGGGGCTCCATGCAAGATCTCACCTCGTGGAGTTGCAATGATCATGAGAACGGTGAGGAATCAGCCCAGAACTACACGGGAGGATCTTGTCAATGATCTCAAGGCAGCTGGGACCATAGTCACCAAGAAAACAATTGGTAACACACTACGCCGTAAAGGACTGAAATCCTGAAGCGCCCTCAAGGTCCCACTGCTCAAGAAAGGACATATACAGGCCCGTCTGAAGTTTGCCAATGAACATCTGAATGATTCAGAGGAGAACTGGGTGAAAGTGTTGTGGTCAGATGAGACCAAAATCGAGCTCTTTGGCATCAACTCAACTCGCCGTGTTTGGAGGAGGAGGAATGCTGCCTATGACCCCAAGAACACCATCCCCACCGTCAAACATGGAGGTGGAAACATTATGCTTTGAGGGTGTTTTTCTGCTAAGGGGACAGGACAACTTCACCGCATCAAAGGGACGATGGACGGGGCCAGGAACCGTCAAATCTTGGGTGAGAACCTCCTTCCCTCAGCCAGGGCATTGAAAATGGTTGTGGATGGGTATTCCAGCATGACAATGACCCAAAACACATGGCCAAGGCAACAGAGGAGTGGCTCAAGAAGAAGCACATTAAGGTCTGGAGACGTCAGCCTCAAAACCTTAATGACTTGGAGAAGATCTGCAAAGAGGAGTGGGACAAAATCCCTCCTGAGATGTGTGCAAACCTGGTGGCCAACTACAAGAAACGTCTGACCTCTGTGATTGCCAACAAGGGTTTTGCCATGTCATGTTTTGCAGAGGGGTTTAATACTTATTTCCCTCATTAAAATGCAAATGAATTTATAACATTTTTGACATGCGTTTTTCTGGATTTTTTTGTTGTTATTCTGTCTCTCGCTGTTCAAATAAACCTACCATTAAAATTATAGACTGATCATGTCTTTGTCAGTTGGCAAACGTATAAAATCAGCAGGGGATCAAATACTTTATTCCCTCACTGTAATTGTTGTGTGATTTGTTCACTCAGGTTCCCTTGATCTAATATTAGGTTTTGGTTGAAGATCTGATAACATTCAGTATCAAAAATATGCAAAAGTAGAGAAATTTAAAAGGGGGCAAGTACCTTTTCACGGAACTGTATATGTTGGGTTCTGATGGGGTAAGACTGTTGAACTAAGCTCATGAGGTATTTACAGTGCCTTCAGAATGTATTCACACACCTTGACTTTTTCCACATTTTGTTGTGTTACAAAGTGGGATTGAAATTGATTTAATATATATTTTTTGGTCAACGATCTACACAAAATACTCTGTGATGTCAAAGTGGAAGACAAATTCTAACATTTTTTAAAAATAAAAATAAAACACTATCTTGATGAGAAATATCTCATTTACATAAGTATTCAACCCCCTGAGTCAATACATGTTAGAATCACCTTTGGCAGCAATTACGGCTGTGAGTCTTTCTGGGTAAGTCTCTAAGAGCTTTGCACACCTGGATTGTACAATATTTGCACATTATTCTTTTAAAAATTGGTTGTTGATCATTGCTAGTCAGCCATTTTCAAGTCTTGCCATAGATTTTCAAGACGGTTTAAGTCAAAACTGTAACTAGGCCACTCAGGAACATTCAGTGTCATCTTGGTAACCAACTCCAGTGTATATTTGGCTTTGTGTTTTAGGTTATTGTCCTGCTGAAAGGTGAATTTGTCTCCCAGTGTCTGTTGGAAAGCAGACTGAACCAGGTTTTCCTCTAGGAGTTTGCCTATGCTTAGCTATGTTCCGTTTATTTTTATCATAAAAAACTCCCTAGTCCTTGCCGATGACAAGCATACCCATAACATGATGCAGCCACCACCATGCTTGAAAATATGGAGAGTGGTACTCAGTGATGTGTTGTGTTGGATTTGCCCCAAACATAACACTTTGTATTCAGGACATAAATGTCATTTCTTTGCCAATTTCTTTGCAGTTTTACTTTAGTGCATTATTGCAAACAGGATGCATGTTTTGGAATATTTTTATTCTGTACAGGCTTCCTTGTTTTCACTGTGTCAATTAGGTTAGTATTGTGGAGTAACCACAATGTTGTTGATCCATCCTCAGTTTTCTCCTATCACAGCCATTCAACTCTGTAACTGTTTTAAAGTCACCATTGGCATCATAGTGAAATCCCTGATCGGTTTCCTTCCACTTTAGCAACTGAGTTAGGAAGGACGCCTATGTCTTTGTAGTGACTGGGTGTATTGATACACTATCCAAAGTGTAATTAATAACTTCACCATGCTCAAAGGGATATTCAATGTCTGCTTTGATTTTTGATTTTTCATATACCAATAGGTGCCCTTCTTTGCGAGGCATTGGAAGACCTGCCTGGTCTTTGTGGACCTTACAGATAATTTAATGTGTGGAGAGAGATGAGGTAGTCATTCAAAAATCATGTTAAACACTCTTTGAAACGTATTATGTGACTTGTTAAGCACATTTTTAGTCCAGAATTTATTTAGGCTAATAATGGCTGTACCAATCACATATTGTGATATTGGCACTTTAAGAAAATAATATAGAATATAGGTCTGAAACTGAAACTAAACTGAACACTCTTGTTTAGAGTCAAAGGATTAATTAAACGTCAACAATGTTGGTAGTATACAGTAGGGTGATGGGGTGTATCCAGAGATTACTGCTTCATTATGATGGATTGGTTACTATGGAATATGTAGGGTGGGTGACGGGGTGTATCCAGAGATTACTGCTTCATTATGATGGATTGGTTTCTATGGGATATGTAGGGTGGGTGACGGGGTGTATCCAGAGATTACTGCTTCATTATGATGGATTGGTTTCTATGGGATATGTAGGGTGGGTGATGGGGTGTATCCAGAGATTACTGCTTCATTATGATGGATTGGTTTCTATGGGATATGTAAGGTGGGTGACGGGGTGTATCCAGAGATTACTGCTTCATTATGATGGATTGGTTTCTATGGGATATGTAGGGTGGGTGATGGGGTGTATCCATAGATTACTGCTTCATTATGATGGATTGGTTTCTATGGGATATGTAGGGTGGGTGATGGGGTGTATCCAGAGATTACTGCTTCATTATGATGGATTGGTTTCTATGGGATATGTAGGGTGGGTGATGGGGTGTATCCAGAGATTACTGCTTCATTATGATGGATTGGTTTCTATGGGATATGTAGGGTGGGTGACGGGGTGTATCCAGAGATTACTGCTTCATTATGATGGATTGGTTTCTATGGGATATGTAGGGTGGGTGATGGGGTGTATCCAGAGATTACTGCTTCATTATGATGGATTGGTTTCTATGGGATATGTAGGGTGGGTGAATAGGTGGGTGAATAGTTATGCACGCTCAAGTTTTTTTTTTTTTTTTTGTCTTATTTCTTGTTTGTTTCACAATAAAAAATATTTTGCATCTTCAAAGTGGTAGGCATGTTGTGTAAATCAAATGATACAAACCCCCCCCCCCATTTTGTTTATTTATTACAGGTTGTAAGGCAACAAAATAGGAACAATTCCAAGGGTGGTGAATACTTTTGCATATTTTGTGTGTGACGTCATCACGTCCAGCTGATTTAATCGACAGAAGATGGTTGAATGGAAACGCACCAATCGTCACATCTATTTTCTATGCAAACTTTCTAAACGTCAACAAAAAAAATAACATTGGACAAGTTCATGGAAACATAGATACTGTCACCCTTTGGCGAAGAGTGAAGTTCCTATTTGGCTACTGGTTAAGATGCCTGGTTCCTCTTGTGGGAGACTGGGGTTCAGACCCAACCTGTGACACTGAGTCAAGCCGAGACAATATTCCATGCCAACTATTGCGTGACATGTCTGACAAACATTTACTCTGGAATAAGCTAATCCTTTAATGTAGGGGCTGAGCAGTGTTTACAACACATAAATTACCCACACCCTACCATGGGAACATCCAGGCCAATGTAATTATCTCTCAACCGCAACCTATTATTAGAAAGAGGAACCTAAATCCCCTGATGTTGCGTGTGTCCGTCTGTCCCAGGGCCGGGAGGCTGGGTTGAAAATAGAAAGCAAGTTCTTTACAGAATTCTATAACTGTAACTGTAGCTAGGGAACGTAGCTAGCTACACCACATGACCAGAAGTATGTGGACACCTGCTCGTCGAACATCTCATTCCAAAATCATGGGCATTGATATGGAGTTGGTCCCCCCCCCTTTTCTGCTATAACAGCCTCCACACTTCTGGGAAGGCTTTCCACTGAATGTTGGAACATTGCTGCGGGGACTTGCTTCCATTCAGCTACAAGAGCGTCAGTGAGGTCGGGCGCTGATGTTGGGCGATTAGGCCTGGCTCGCAGTCAGTGTTCCAATTCATCCCAAAGGTGTTCGATGGGGTTGAGATCAGGGCTCTGTGCACGCCAGTTAAGTTCTTCCACACTGATCTCGACAAACCATTTCTGTATGGACCTCGCTTTGTGCATGGGGGCATTGTCAGGCTGAAACAGGAAAGGACCTTCCCCAAACTGTTGCCACAAAGTTGGAAGCACACAATCATCTAGAATGTCATTGTATGCAGTAGCGTTAAGATTTCCCTTCACTGGAACTAAGGAGCCCGAACCATGAAAAACAGACCCTTATTTCTCCTCCACCAGACTTTATAGTTGGCACTATGCATTCGGGCAGGTAGCGTTCTCCTGGTATCCGCCAAACCCAGATTCGTCCCTCGGACTGCCAGATGGTGAAGCGTGATTCATCACTCCACTGCTCCAGAGTCCAATGGCGGCGAGCTTTACACCACTCCAGCCGATGCTTGGCATTGCACATGGTGATCTTAGGCTTTTGTGCGGCTGCTCGGCCATGGAAACCCATTTCATAAAGCTCCCGACAAACAGTTATTATGCTGATGTTGCTTCCAGAGGCAGTTTGGAACTCGGTAGTGAGTGTTGCAAACGAGGACAGACGATTATTACGTGCCACACACTTCAGCATTCGGCGGTCCCGTTCTTTGAGCTTGTGTGGCTTCCACTTCGCGGCTGAGTCATTGTTGCTCCTAGACATTTCCACTTCACAATAATAGCACTTACAGTTGACCGGGGCAGCTCTAGCAGGGCAGAAATTTGACGAACTGACTTGTTGGAAAGGTGGCATCCTATGATGGTGCCACATTGAAAGTCACTGAGCTCTTCAGTAAGGCCATTCTGCAGCCAATGTTTTTCTATGGCGATTGAATGCTATGTTAGATTTTATACACCTGTCAGCAACAGGTGTGGCTGTAATAGCTAAATCCGCTAATTTGAAGGGGTGTCCACATACTTTTGTGTGTGTATATATATATATATATATATATATATATATATATATTCAGACCCCTTGAGAAATACCTTATTTAAATTAGTATTCAGACCCTTTGCTATCAGACTCGAAATTGAGCTCAGGTGCATCCTGTTTCCATTGATCATCCTTGATGTTTCTACAACTTGAATGGAGTCCACCTATGATAAATTCAATTGATTGGACATAATTTGGAAAGGGTGCCAAGCTTTTACCGTCATACCCAAGAAGACTCAAGGCTGGTTTTTGCTCTGACATGCACTGTCAACTGTGGGACCTTATATAGACAGGTATGTGCTTTTCCAATCATGTCCAATCAATTGAATTTACCACAGGTGGACTCCAATCAAGTTGTAGAAACATCTCAAGGATGATCAATGGAAACAAGATGCACCGGAGCTCAATTTTCGAGTCACATAGCAAAGGGTCTGAATACTTATGTAAATAAGGTATTACTGTTTTTTTTTTTTCAATAAATGTGCAAACATTTCTAAAAACCTGTTTTCGCTTGTGTGATGGGTGATTTGAAGGAGTCAGACACTGGCGCTGTCATCCTCCACTCTACCGCTCCATCAGCACATGATCCGAGTCAGGCGGGGTTGGAACGGGCAGACCCCCTCCAGGACGTCCTCTGGCCGCCAGCAGATTGTCCAAGCGGATGGCCATGTCCACCAGTTGATTGAAGGACAACATGGTGTCCCGGCAGGCTAGCTCCCTTCGGACATCCTCCTGCAGATGGCACCGGAAGTGGTCGATGAGGGCCCGCTCGTTCCACCCGGACCCAGCTGCTAGAGTCCGGAACTCCAGGGCGAAGTCCTGCGCAGTCCTCGTCCCCTGCCTCAGGTGGACCAGCCGCTCGCCCGCCTCTTTACCCTCGGGCGGGTGATCGAAGACAGCCCGAAAGAGGCGAGCGAACTCCCCGTAGTTGTCCAACACGGCTCCTCCTTCATTCCAAACTGCGTTGGCCCACTCCAGGGCTTTCCCTGAGAGGCAGGAGACGAGGGAAGACACCTTCTCCCGCTCCGATGGGGCCGGCCTGATGCTGGAATAGAAGAGATCCAGTTTGAGGAGGAATCCCTGGCAGAGAGCAGCTGTCCCTGTCGAAATCCCGTGGTCGGGATATCTGGATCCCTCTGTGTGCTGGGGTGTGGGTGGCTGGATCCGGTCGCCCAGCTGGTCTCGACAGATCGGGTCCTCTCCTCTCCAGGTGTTGGACGACCTGGAGAACCCGATCCATCGCTTCCTTTGATTCTGTGATTTGAAGGAGTCAGACGCAGGAGTGTAAATCACAGAATACAGAGTTTATTCCGGAATACAGAGTTACGCAGAATAGCGTCAAACAGTCCAGTGTGCAAAACAGGCACACTGGAACAAAACAGGCACACAGGGAAAATATACCCCGGCAATACAAAATACACTGAGCTCAACCGAGCTACTCTCCTCACATTAAGCGATCACCCACAAGGACAAGGGGGCAGAGGGAACACTTATACACATACTAATGAGGGGATATGAACCAGGTGTGTGTAATAGACAAAACAAAACAAATGGAATGATGCGATGTGATGCGGCAATGGCTAGAAGGCCGGTGACGACGAACGCCGAAGCCTGCCCGAACAAGGAGAGGAGGCAGCTTAGGAGGAAGTCGTGACATTATGGGGTATTGTGTGTAGATTGCTGAGGAAAAACATGTATTTATTCAATTTTAGAATAAGGCTGTAACGTAACAAAATGTGGAAAAAGTCAAGGGGTCTGAATAATTTCCGAAGGCACTGTATACAATTATCTGTAAGGACCCTTAGTCGAGCAGTGAATTTCAAACACAGATTCAACCACAAAGACCAAGGAGGTTTTTCAGTGCCTCGCAAAGAATGGCACCTATTGGTAGATGGGTTAAAAAAGAAGCAGACATTGAATATCCCTTTAAGCATGGTGAAGTTATTAATTAAACTTTGGATGGTGTATCAAGACGTCCAGTCACTACAAAGATGCAGGCGTCCTTCCTAACTCAGTTGCCGGAGAGGAAGGAAACCGCTCAGGGATTTCACCATGAGGCCAATGGTGACTTTAAAACAGTCACAGTGTTTAATTGCTGTGAATGGATAAAACTGAGGATGGATCAACAACATTGAAGTTACTCCACAATACTAACCTAATTGACAGAGTGAAAAGAAGGAAGCCTGTACAGAATAAAAAATATTTCAAAACATGCATCCCGTTTGCAACAAGGCACTAAAGTAAAAATGTGGCACAGAAAATAACTTTTTGTCCTCAACACAAAGTGTTCTGTTTGGAGCAAATCCAATACAACACATTACTGAATACCACTCTCCATATTTTCAAGCATAGTGGTGGCTGCATCATGTTATGGGTATGCTTGTAATTGTTAAGGACTGGGGAGTCTTTCAGGATAAAAGAGAAACAGAATGGCGCTAAGCACAGGCAAAGTCCTAGATGAAAACCTGGTTCAGTCTGCTTTCCACTAGACACTGGGAGATGGATTCACCTTTCAGCAGGACAATAACCCAAAACATACTGCCACATCTACACTGGAGTTGCTTACCAAGAAGACAGTGAATGTTTCAGAGTGACCGAGTTACAGTTTTAACTTAAATCTACTTGAAAATCTATGGAAAGACTTGAAAATGGTTGTCTAACAATGATCAACAACTAATGTGACCGAGCTTGAAGAATTTCGAAAAGAATAATGGTCAAATGTTGCACAATCCATGTGTGCAAAGCTCTTAGAGACTTACCCAGAAAGACTCACAACTGTAATCACTGCCAAAGGTGATTCTACAAAGTATTGACTCAGGGGTGTGAATACTTATGTAAATTGATATTTCTGTATTTCATTTTCAATACATTTGCCAAAATGTCTAAATATATGTTTTCCCTTTGTCATTATGGTGGATTGTGTGTAGATGGGTGAGAGAAAACAATCTATTTCATTTTGAATTCAGGCTGTAACACAAAAAATGTGGAATAAGTCAAGGGGTATGAATACACTCTGAAGGCGCTGTACACTATATATATATATATATATATATATATATATATATATATATATATATATATATATATATATATGTATATATATATATATATATATATATATATATATATACAGTACCAGTCAAAAGTTTGGGCACACCTACTCATTCAAGGGTTTTTCTTTATTTTTACTATTTTCTACATTGTAGAATAATAGTGAAGACCTCAAAACTATGAAATAACACACATAGAATCATGTAGTAAGGCTTAAACAAATCAAAATATATATTAAAATAGTCACCCTTTGCCTTGATGACAGCTTTGCACACTCTTAGCATTCTCTCAACCAGCTTCATGAGGTAGTCACCTGGAATGCATTTCAATTAACAGGTATGCGTTGTTAAAAGTTAATTTGTGGAATTTCTTTCCTTCTTAAAGTGTTTGAGCCAATCAGTTGTGTTGTGACAAGGTAGGGGGGTGGTATACAGAAGATAGCCCTAAGACATGAAGGTCAATCCGGAAAATGTCAAGAACTTTGAAAGTTTCTTCAAGTCCAGTCGCAAAAACCATCAAGCGCTATGATGAAACTGGCTCTCATGAGGACCGCCACAGGAAAGGAAGACCCAGAGTTACCTCTTCTGCAGAGGATAAGTTCATTATAGTTACCAGCCTCAGAAATTGCAGCCCAAATAAATGCTTCACAGAGTTCAAGTAACAGACACATCTCAACATCAACTGTTCAGAGGAGACTGCGTGAATCAGGCCTTCATGGTCAAATTGCTGCAAAGAAACCACTACTAAAGGACACCAATAATAAGAAGAGACTTGCTTGGTCTAAGAAACACAAGCAATGGACATTAGACCGGTGGAAATCTGTCCTTTGGTCTGATGAGTCCAAATTTGAGATTGTTGGTTCCAACCGCAGTGTCTTTGTGAGAAGCAGAGTAGGTGAACGGATGATCTCTGCATGTGTGGTTCCCACCTTGAAGCATGGAGGAGGAGGTGTGATTGTGTGGGGTGCTTTGCTGGTGACACTGTCTGTGATTTATTTAGAATTCAAGGTACACTTAACCAGCATGGCTACCACAGCATTCTGCAGCGATATGTCTTCCCCCATCTGGTTTGCGCTTAGTGGGACTATCATTTGTTTTTCAACAGGACAATGACTCGGCACACCTCCAGGCTGTGTAAGGACTATTTGACCAAGAAGGAGAGGGATGGAGAGCTGCATCAGATGACCTGGCCTCCACAATCACCCGACCTCAACCAAATTGATATGGTTTGGGATGAGTCGGACGGCAGAGTGAAGGAAAAGCAGCCAACAAGTGCTCAGCATATGTGGGAACTCCTTCAAGATTGTTGGAAAAGCATTCCAGGTGAAGCTGGTTGAGAGAATGCCAAGAGTGTGCAAAGCTGTCATCAAGGCAAAGGGTGGTTACTTTGAAGAATCTCCAATCTCAAATATATTTTGATTTGTTTAACACTTTTTTGTTACTTCATGATTCAATATGTGTTATTTCATAGTTTTGATGTCTTCACTATTAGTCTACAATGTAGTAAATAGTCAAAATAAAGAATAACCCTTGAATGAGTAGGTGTGTCCAAACTTTTGACTGGTACTGTACATTCAAACAATACTTTAGAACCATATAATACATTGACTATGGTAGATGAAGGAACAAATCTATCTTTTCAGACTGTCAGAGTATTTATCTGGTCATTGTGGCAGTGTATTATGTATGTTGTTTGTAACAGTGTGTTATACTGTATGTGAAAATGTGATTGTATTGTAAATTATATTTTAATGTTTAAGTACTCCTGGAAGATTAGTCCAAATGAGGACTAAAATAGATCCTAATAAAATCAAATATATTATATTACTGACTTCTTCAGGGTGGATATATACTGGGTGTTTAATAATTTTGCCACTGTTTATAATTTGTTCTGTTGTGTCAACAGTGTCAATCAGGAGAAACCATGACGACTGTCCCAGAGACAGATCTACACTGCTGTTGTTTTTCATCCCTGCAGGAGTCCTGGTCATTGTCCTCATAGTTCTTTACTTACGACACAAACGGACAAGGAAAGCCACATATACATCACAAAATATGGCAGAAATAACTGGGCGTGAACAAACTTGTGACTAGAACACTAATCCTATAGTGGCAAAGACATCCAACTGCGATTCGGACGCCTCACCTCCTAGCCCCAGTGTACCCTGAAGTTTAAGGTTCTCTGCCAAGTCCATAGTGTGTTTCTGGTCTAGTAGTCTCATGTTATCATCCTTCCTGGACCTGAGAAAGCTGTAAATCAAGTTGGCTGTCTGGCAGTAACCACGAATCACAGTTTTCATTTCGAAACTAGATGACTAGGAAAGAAACTAGACACAAAGCTGCTATTGAGATCCTCATTACAGACCTGAGGGGGTTAGCAATCTGATAGCTGTGGTGGGAGATGAAACTAGCAACATTCCAGAACAGTGTTTATGGGAAACGAGTGAATGAATGGACAACAGCAGGTAGCCATAAATATCAAATGGAACCCTATTCCCTATATAGTGCATTACTTTTGACCAGAGCCCTATGGCATAACCTGTTTTCCAGAGCAGGAGAAATGCCATTTACCATTTGTTCGTTAGACATTTGTTCACAATGTTTTCATTTATTTTCCTGTGTACAGTGCATTCGTTAAGTATTCAGACCCCTCGACTTTTCCCACATTTTCTTACGTTACAGGCTTATTTTCCTCATCAATCTACACCCCATAATGACAAAGCGAAAACAGGTTTTTAGAAATGTTGGCAAATGTATTAAAAAACATACCTTATTTACATAAGTATTCAGACCCTTTGATATGAGACTCGAAATTGAGTTCAGGTGCATCCTGTTTCCATGATCATCCTTGAGATGTTTCTACAACTTGATTGGAGTCCACCTGTAGTACATTCACTTGATTGGACATGATTTGCCAAAAGGCACCTAAAGGACTCTCAGTCCATGAGAAACAAGATTCTCTGGTCTGATGAAACCAAGATTGAACTCTTTGGCCTGAATGCCAAGTGTCACGTCTGGAGGAAACCAGGCACCAACCCTACGGTGAAGCATGGTGGTGGCAGCATAATGCTGTGGGGAATGTTTTTCAGCAGCAGGAAATGGGAGACTAGTCTGGAAAGAGGGAAAGATGAACGGAGCAAAGTACAGAGAGATCCTTGATGAAAACCTGCTCCACAGCGCTCAGGACCTCAGACTGGAGCAAAGGTTCACCTTCCAACAGGACAACGACCCAAAGCACACAGCCAAGACAATGCAGGAGTGGCTTTGGGACAAGTCTCTAAATGTCCTTGAGTGGCCCAGCCAGAGCCCGAACCCGATTTGAAAATCTCTGGAGAGACCTGAAAATAGCTGTGCACCGACGCTCCCCATCCAACCTGACAGTGCTTGAGAGGATCTGCAGAGAAGAATGGGAGAAACTTCCCAAAAACAGGTGTGCCAAGCTTCTAGCGCCATACCCAAGAAGACTTGAGGCTGTAATCGCTGCCAAAGGTGCTTCAACAAAGTACTGAGTAAAGGGTCTGAATACTTTTGTAAATGTTTTATTTCCGTTTTTTATTTTTAATACATTTGTGGTATTGTGTGTAGATTAATGAGAGAAAAAAATAACTATTTCATTTTAGAATAAGGCTGGAACGTAACAAAATGTGGAAAAAGTCAAGGGCTCTGAATACTTCCCGAATGCACTGCATACTGGGGTTGAAGGGAACATACATCTGAAACAATGAACATGGGAAATAATTACATTACTTGTTTTACTAGCTTTGTCGTTTAATTTTTAATATTTTTCGTTATTGTTAACTTTTACTTACGTAGATATTCAATTATTGCTAATACATTTTCTTTAGATAAATATTCAACCCCCTGAGTCAATACATGTTAGAATCACCTTTGGCAGCGATTACAGCTGTGAGCTTTGCATACCTGGATTGTAATTTTGAGTAGAGCAGACGTTTCCATATTTTTTTGTTAGCTGCATGTGTAACATAACTCCACCAGTCCTATTTATGATATCATTAACAAAGATTATACCTTTTTTAAACATGTTCTCTAAAAATAATTGGTTATGTATTAGTATATTTGAGTTTAACCATAATATTTGTTGTAATATTTGTTCTGTGTTTTCTGGTGGATTAAACTGAAATTGCAACCAACCTTCTATGGCTTGTTTTAAAAATAGCAATATAGATTTTTTTCTTCTTCAATAACCAAAAGTGATGGGTTGTAATCTGTTTAAAGGGAAAAAGGACATTCTGGAACATGGGGTGAGACATTCTGGAACATGGGGTGAGACATTCTGGAACATGGGGTGAGACATTCTGGAACATGGGGTGAGACATTCTGGAACATGGGGTGAGACATTCTGGAACATGGGGTGAGACATTCTGGAACATGGGGTGAGACATTCTGGAACATGGGGTGAGACATTCTGGAACATGGGGTGAGACATTCTGGAACATGGGGTGAGACATTCTTACTAATCGGCTTTTCACGCCGATTTACTCATAACTGTAACTAGGCCACTCAGTGTGAAACCAGACACCGTAATACATGGATTCAGCCAGAGATTAGGAAACAACAGTAATGAGTGTCTGACTTGTCTTTAGCCAGGCAATAGTCTCCCTAGAGTCTAGACCAGGGCTGTCCAACTCATTCCTTGTGTCTGCTAGTTTAATTTAGTGTCCAATTTAAGACCTAAAGTACCAGGGGTGTATTCATTACGCTAATTCTGTTGCAAAACATTGTCTGTTACAAAACTTTTTTTGCAGAACAGAAATCGTTTACTCCAAATGTTTTGCAACTTAAACCAGTTTCTATTAGACAAATGCAGCTAGGTTCCTCCCCGTTTTTTGTTCCGTTTTGCTTCCATTTTGGTTCTTAAATGGTAAATGTTTTGCGTCGCAAAGACGTAATGAATACACCCCAGGTGAGGGGGAGTTCATAATTAAGGGTGGAGTGAAAACCTGCAGACACTCTGCCCTCCACAGAATGAGTTTGACACCTGTGATCTAGACAAGCCAGCTGGCATCCCACAATGTTACCAGTTGCCTTAGGTCTGGTATGTCAGACTAGACAGGGGACTTTTACATCAGCCTACAATGGCCAACATGTCACCACCTGGTGGTGAAAAAGAGAAGTCACAGGCTTGAGTCTCCCACAAAAAAAACAAATCCATAAAAGTCTCCCTTTGTCTTTACATGCATCTACATAAGTTATTACAGGCCGGTACTTTGTAATGATATATGGGAACTATGTAAACCTACACTGGAATTACACTGTACTGCATACATACACACTGTACTTTTTAAATGACTTTACATGGTCAGACCGATGACACCAAACAACACTAAAGTTTGTTTACATGTTTATTTTTTAGTTGTCTGGTAAAAGCAGACAGAAAAGGAGACCTTTAGATAGTCTTTAAGGGTCCTGTCTGTCTGTACGGAGAGCCTGAGATACAAGTTGCCCCTGACCACAGATCTATACTTAACAAATATATAAACGCAAACCTGTAAAGTGTTGGTCCCATTTTTCATGAGCTGAAATAAAAGATCCCCGAAATTTTCCATATGCACAAAAAGCTTATTTCCCCACCTTGTGCTGGGGACAACAGGTCACTCTAAAATGTGCAATTTGGTCACAACACAATGCCACAGAAGTCTCACGTTTAAGGGAGCGTGGAATTGGCATGCTGACTGCAGGACTGTCCAACAGCGCCGCCTCCAACATTGTTTTAGAGAATTTGGCAGTACATCCAACCGACCTCACAAACGCAGACCACGTGAAACCATGCCAGCCCGTATTTATGTCTGTTATACAGCCCTTTTGTGGGGAAAAACTCATTCTGATTGGCTGGCCCTCCCAGGCTGCACCACCGCCGTTATGTGAAATCCATTGATTTGGGACGAATGAGTCTATTTCAATTGACTGATTTCCTTCTATAAACTCAGTCAAAATCTTTGAAATTGTTGCAAGTTGCGTTTTATATTTTTGTTCAGTATAGGATCAGATTACCCTCCATTAATCATTATGGGGGGAGGACACATAACTGACTTAATATCAGTGTCCATGGGTAACTATATCCCTCTTGTCAATTGGAACAGATCTAGGATCATCTTATCCTCCATTCAACATACCCTGATCCTATAGCAGGCCTTAGAACAGTGTCTAGTGGCAACTTCAACCCCGTCCCCCTCGGTTGCACAATCCCAGTAACTTCCCGAACATTCCCTGGTTGCAGAATTCCTGCTTGTGCTCTCCTCATTTCAGTAATCTTCCAAACCAGGATTCCTGGAAAACCTGGGAATTTTTGGGGAAAGTTACCGGAATTGTGCAACATTTACATTTACATTTTAGTCATTTAGCAGACGCTCTTATCCAGAGCGACTTACAGTTAGTGAATACATATATATTTTTTATACTGGCCCCCCGTGGGAACACCCCTAGTCTGTAGTTATTGCACTGTTGTAACATAACTTTACGCCGGCTCGCTAACGTCCGACCTACAGAACGCTGGCTCAGCAATAACATAACAGGTGTCATAAAACAGTCGTGACAGCTAATGCTATGTATATGACCACTGACTTTATAACCTCCTGTCATGACCCTAACCCAGATTTGAGGTCAGCTACTTGGCTAGAGTTACTGTAGATATTGCAGCGACTTTAAACCAACACCGAGCAACCCCTTCAAGGGGATTGGATCTCTTGGCGTAACGGCAAAGCTGTTGGGTTGACAGTCCCTGGACCCAGGTTCGAGTCCTGGTCGGGGCTACTCCCAAATTCCCTACAATATCCTAGATCAAGCTAATGTGCTAACCTAAACAGTGGTTTGTGTCATAACCGGGATAAATCAGGGGACATACAGTGCATTCGGAAAGTATTCAGACCCCTTGACTTTTTTCCACATTTTGTTACGTTACAGCCGTATTCAAAAATGTATTAAATTGTTATTTTTTCTCATTAATCTACACACAATACCCCATAATGACACAGCGAAAACAGATTTTTAGAAATGTTTGCTAATGTATTACAAATAAAAAACAGAAATACCTTATTTACATAAGTATTCAGACCCTTTTCTATGAGACTCGAAATTGAGCTCAGGTGCATCCTGTTTCCATTGATCTTCCTTGAGATGTTTCTACAACTTGATTGGAGTCCACCTGTGGTAAATTAAATTGATTGGACATGATTTGGAAAGGCACACACCTGTCTATATAAAAAGGTCCCACATTTGACAGTGCATGTCAGAGCAAAAACCAAGCCATGAGGTCGAAGGTATTGTCCGTAGAGCTCCGAGACAGGATTGTGTCAAGGCACAGATCTGGGGAAGGGTACCGAAAAATTTCTGCAGCATTAAAAGGTCCCCAAGAACACAGTGGCCTCCATCATTCTTAAATGGAAGAAGTTTGGAACCACCAAGACTCTTCCTAGAGCTGGCCGCCCAGCCACACTGAGCAATCGGGGAGAAGGTTACTCTGACAGAGCTACAGTTCCTCTGAAGAGATGGGAGAACATTCCAGAAGGACAACCATCTCTGCAGCACTCCACCAATCAGGCCTTTATGGTAGAGTGGCCAGACAGAAGTCACTCCTCAGTAAAAGGCACATGACAGCCCGCTTGGAGTTTGCCAAAAGGCACCTAAAGGACTCTCAGACCATGAGAAGCAAGATTATCTGGTCTGATGAAACCAAGATTGAACTCTTTGGCCTGAATGCCAAGCGTCATGTCTGTCTGGTGTTCAACCTTCTCTCACGTCACCCCCCTCCTCCGCACACTCCACTGGCTTCCAATTGAAGCTCGCATCCGCTACAAGACCATGGTGCTTGCCTTTGGAGCAGTGAGGGGAACGGCACCCCTGTACCTTCAGGCTCTGATCAGTCCCTACACCCAAACGAGGACATTGCGTTCATCCACCTCTGGCCTGCTGGCTCCCCTTCCTCTGCGGAAGCACAGCTCCCGCTCAGCCAAGTCAAAACTGTTCGCTGCTCTGGCACCCCAATGGTGGAACAAGCTCCCTCACGACGCCAGGACAGCGGAGTCACTCACCACCTTCCGGAGACATTTGAAACCCCACCTCTTTAAGGAATACCTGGGATAGGCTAAAGTATTCCTTCTAACCCCCCCCCCCCCCCAAATTGTAAAGTGGTTATCCCACTGGCTATAGGGTGAACGCACCAATTTGTGAGTCGCTCTGGCTAAGAGCGTCTGCTAAATGACGTTAATGTGCCCTTGAGCAAGGCACTTAACCCTAATTGCTCCTGTAAGTCGCTCTGGTTAAGAGCGTCTGCTAAATGACTAAAATGTAAATGTAAATGTGGAGGAAACCTGGCACCATCCCTATGGTGAAGCATGGTGGTGGTAGCATCATGCTGTGGGGATGTTTTTCAGCGGCAGGGACTGGGAGACTAGTCAGGATCGAGGGAAAGATGAACAGAGCAAAGTACAGAGAGATCCTTGCGCTCAGGACCTCATACTGGGGAGAACGTTGACCTTCCAACAGGACAACAACGCTAAGCACACAGCCAAGACAATGCAGGGGTGGCTTCAGGACAAGTCTATGAATGTCCTTGAGTGGCCCAGCCAGAGCCCGGACTTGAACCCTTTCGAACATCTCTGGAGAGACCTGAAAATATCTGTGCAGCAAAGCTCCCCATCCAACCTGACAGAGCTTGAGAGGATCTGCAGAGAAGAATGGGAGAAACTCCCCAAATACAGGTGTGCCAAGCTTGTAGCATCATACCCAAGAAGACTTGAGGCTGTAAATTGCTGCCAAAAGGTGCTTCAAAGTACTGAGTAAAAGGTCTGAATACTTACAGTATGTAAATGTGATATTTCAGTTTTATTTTTTATAAAATGTGTAAACCAATAAACTGTTTTTGCTTTGTCATTATGAGGTATTGTGTGTAGATGGATGGAATTAAAAACTATTTCATGAATTTTAGAATAAGGCTGTAAAGTAACAAAATGTGTAAAAGGTCAGGGGGTGTGAATATTTTCCGAATACACTGAGCTGTGTCTACTGGTTCCTATATGAGAATGTGGGGGAGGGGGGATCACATGCAGGAAAGCGGTTCGGAACATTTCATGACCATCTAGGGGCTGAAACCTATCGTTTTATTTAACCAGTGAAGTCACTTTAAGCTTTACTACTTGCCTTTTCAGGCATATCTTCCCCATTTATTTAAAATGTATGATTTAGGCAGAGGACACAGAGTTAGGGATTTGTCTGTGAAGTTAGGATTCAACCCTGTGAGGATAATGACAGAAATGACTTGGTGCATTCCATGACCAATAGAGAATAACAACCCTTAAGGCCTTGGGGCCAGTGGCTAAGGGGGGAGAACAGCAAAAAATCCTTATTCGAAACAAAACCAAGTGTTTCCTTAAAACACTGTCTATATCATTTAAAGAAGGCAAAAACACATGCAGAGAATTTTGTTACATATGCATAAATGTCATTTAGTTTCATCCCAGAAACCCAAGGTTTTGACCAGGAGCAAAGAGTTGACACAAAATGAACGTGCAAATACATTAACATAGTTGTGTGTGTGTGTTCTTTCCTCTTCTTGGAAATATATGGAGTAAAGGAATCACCAGGAAGTGCAGCTTTCGGTCATACACAGATACCATATATGAAGATTAGCTTATTCTAGAATGAGGAGAGGTGCTTACGGCACACATAGACATTACAAGTCATGATTAACAACACGTGATGTTACCTAGAACGTTTGCAGAACTCAAACCTTTAAGACTACAGACTAGCTTATTTGGGTTTCAGAGGACAGTAGACTTGAAATGGTTAATGTATGTTGATAAGAGAAGGGGGACATCATTAACTAATTACTATTAGTTATTAATACATAATGTTCCTTTGATTAATGGACATTCACTGACAAAATAGGAGCATGAGGAAGCATATAGAAGGGGAACCATGGGCTAGCTCGGCTTGCTGACATTAACAATAGACAGACATAATACATAGTAGACGCAGTGAGGAGAACTAGTTGAAAAGACATCATTTCAACACATTTTACTCACTGGGTGTCCATGTTTTGGCAGAAAACAGTCAACAGTATTGTATGATATGAAACATTCCATTGGACGATTCATCATCTTCATCCACCATCTTTGGGTTTACCTGAGATTCCGTTTGTCCCTCAGGGTTGGACTCTTCTGACCAGACTACTTGATTGATCACTTGTCCGATCGATTGATTGAGCCCAAAGTCTAACAAGGTTACTAAGATAGGGTCAAGACATTCAAGCTAGCAGAGAAGGCATCCTCATGTTGATATTATGGAAACACTATCATCACACCAAAGATCAACCAAACTCACCTCGCTCACTTCAACCAAACACACCTGTCACCTTATCAAACACACCTGACCTGCAGGTTCAAAACATTCCTTACTCACTCCACTCTCCAGTCCATTTACACAACCACTTGTCAATACCTTTAAAAAGAAAAGTTGCAAATACATTTTTTAAAGAAAGGCTTTTAGCTTATAGAAGGGCCGATATATCCGCTTACCGGTACAACCCTCTTCCTTCTAAGGAGTTGTCTTTCGTTTAAGACCGTCTTGGAATACATACAGAGAGATAGAGATAAATATTGCCATCACTATAAAGCATGATTACTGTATACATAGTGGCCTCCCTACCACTAGAGGCACCAGAGCGAGCTGTAGCACCCTTTTCCACTATTAACTCACTGTCATAGCCCCTGAAGACCTCCAGGGGGACACAGAGCAGTCATAGCCCATGAAGACCTCCAGGGGGACACAGACACTCAGAGCAGTCATTTTTCATTTTTATATCCCATTATATATGTAAAAATCCACATCTCCCATAGGTCACTCCTCATCCACAGTCTCCCTTTTCGATTCGTCAGCTTTGTGTTCCAGGACCTGAGGGGCGGGGCTAGGAGGGGGAAGGACATTGACGGCAGCCAATGAGGAGGGGTCTTGTGGATCAAGGTCCTTCCTGGATGAAATCTCTTCCTGTGAAGGAAAAAGGTATTAATTTATTAAACAGTTGTCTCCCGATACATGCGATTCAGTTCATTGTTTCAGGGGATAGTTTAACAAAATCGCTAACTGAATCGTTGATTCACTGACTCACCCGCTCAAAGAATCGTTGATTCACTGACTCACCCGCTCTAAGAATCGTTGATTCACTTGCTCTGCGTAGTCATGTGGCTCCAGCTCCTCCCCGTTGGAGTGACAGCTCGGGCTGGGAACCTCGATACCATGACTCTCCAAGATGGCCGCCTCTGATGGAGAGAGAGGGGAGGATGGAAAGAGGAAGGTGGGTAAATAAGGAATGAGAGAGTGGGAGCAACAGGTAAGAGAATGTAGCACTTGCCCTCCACCAGTAGACACCTCTGCTAGATCTGAACGGATCGGATGGATGTAAGCAACATGGTGAGAATCCCAACTAGCTTAGCAGAGGGAAAGGTGGAGCTATCACCATATTGCTAATACCTATCCAATCCTCTCAGATCTACACAATGTTCCAAGAGGTCTGCTATTGGTCGATTAGGTTTTGTGCATGACTTGGTATCGAGTATGACTTGGTATCGTGCATGACTTGGTATCGAGCATTAGAGATTCTCACCTATATTAGCCCGCCTCTTCATCTCTTTCCGGCGGTTGGCGAACCAGTTGTACACCTTCAGAGCCGTGACACGCTCAAACTCAGACAGCTTGCATCCTGGGTAATGACAACAGAAAAGAGATGAACGGGTGAATACATGAAGTTGGGTGAGCTGCTCCCTCTTCATGCTAGTGAGAGCCTTTTAAACATGGGATTTGATTGACAAAATCAGAGGTTTGAGAGACCTAAGGGATATATTGGTTGCAGGTGTGTTCTAGACAAACAAACCAAACTGACCAGGTTTCTGGATGACGGAGTTGCAGGCATTAGCGATCTCCTCTCTCTTTGCCTCGTCAGGGTACTGGTTCTCCATGAAGAAACTGATAGCCAATAAGAAAACAGAAAGAAGAGTCCTGCCCATGACCATAACCAATCAAAAGCTCTCATCATAGTGGAGGCGGGAGAAACACATCATCCAGACACCATCCAGCCAATGAGAGTGCAGCTACATCAGCCTCAATCAGGGCCATTAACCAATCAGAGACACTCTCATTGAAGTGGTACAGTAGATTAATGGACACATTAGGTCGATTACATTCAGTACAGTTTTTATAACTCTCCCTTTCCTCTCCTAGGAGGCCATAAAAAAATACAAATAAACATTTTACAAAAACAGAAAGATATATTGCACCACTAGTTTTCACTAGTTACCACAGATACAACGTAGCAGTGTGGTTAGGGTTTTAAGGAGAGACATTGTAGAAACAGACGGGGTAGTGACGACCGCTTACTCCTCAGACAGACAGGGGTGCTCAACTCCTTTCTCCCTCAATCCATCTCTCCACTTTTCTCTCCTTCCTCCTCCTCTCTCCACTTCTCTTTCCTTCCCCCTTCCTCCTCCTCTCTCCACTCCTCTCTCCTCTCCTCTCCTCTTCCCCCTCCTCTCCTCCCTCCTCCTCCTCTCTCCTTCCTCCTCCTCTCTCCTTCCCCCTCCTCTCCTTCCCCCTCCTCTCTCCTTCCTCCTCCTCTCTCCTCCTCTCTCCACTCCTCCCTCCTCCTCTCTCCTTCCTCCTCCTCTCTCCTTCCCCCACCTCTCTCCACTCCTCCCTCCTCCTCTCTCCTTCCTCCTCCTCTCTCCTTCCCCCACCTCTCTCCACTCCTCCCTCCTCCTCTCTCCTTCCCCCTCCTCTCTCCACTCCTCTCTCCACTCCTCTCTCCTTCCTCTCTCCATTTGTCCTTCTTTACCCTTTTCTGTCTGAATAAGAATAACTTCACAAAATGTAGGAGCAGCACTTACTCAGTCTCTCCCTCCTTCTCCCTCCCTCCCTCCCTCCATCCCTCCTGCCGTCACAATAACCTCTACAGTGTCGTCCTTCAGAATGACTCTGAAGAGAAGCAGCACTGCAGTGGCTTTGCGTAATCCATACAGCCGTGTGTTGGCGTGGCTGGTCTAAGTGCCTGTGTATTCTCATTACCGAGAGCGCCCTCTGCTTAGAAATATCACAGAGTCCACCGCTTATATTAGGATATGCTTTCCTTTAAAAAAACTGAAAAACAACAGTTATAAACTGGTTATAAAGAATCTGTTAGGTACATACTGGGCTCTAAATTAAAACATTGCATTGGTAGCACTGGTGTTCCCATATTACAAAAAGTTAGGAGCACCAGAAAATATATTTTTTTACATTGATTGAGAGAAAGCCTATATATTGGGCCTATCTGAATTCTAGATGCTTTTGATGCACATGTTGTGCCCTATAACCTAATATGTAACACTGTAAATACATTAGATTATTACAAAAAGCTTAAGTGTTGATACAAATACCTGTAATTCCAAAGTCATTTGTGGAATATTAGGTTTCTACATTGTCTAAAAGCACTATTTTCCTATTGAGATGCATTACATTGAAAATTGTACACTGTCTCTTTAAAAAACGTCAGGTTTGTGATGACAACATGCAAGAGGAGATGTGTCATTCATTCATTGCAATCAATGAAGGTGTGTTGCTACGATCATTGATCTCCTGAAGAAGCTATCCTTTTCCCTTTCTGTGCCCCCACAGCTAGCTAACCAACGAGGTAACATGACTGAACAAAGCGTCAACAACTGGTTAACGACGACGTCAACGCGAGAGTGGTTTCCGAACGGCCCACGACATGGTTTATGAATGTAAAATGGGCTCCCAGCGATCCCGCTATAGTACGATAAACGATTTTGCGCCGGTAATATACAGTGCATTCGGAAAGTATTTAGACCCCTTCCCTTTCCCACATCTTGTTACGTTACAGCGCTATTCTAAAATGGATTAAATATATATTTTATATATTTTCCCCCCTCATCAATCTACACACAATACCCCATAATGACAAAGCGAAAACATTCACATGGACCTTAAATATAACAAAGTTCATTCCTTGTGCAAGTGGCATGCAATTTACAAAACACCCGATGAAATCAAAGTGTTTTTGCAATGAAAGAGAACCACAAAATGACACACCTTGATAATGAAATGAATTAAATCATAGTTTAATCTACAGGTTGGCGGTAGTAGGACAGGAGTGGTCAGTAAACAGGGGTGGTAGACTGGACTCTCTAGATTAAATGATCTGATCACAGTCACATCCGGCATGACTCTACTCCATCAGACTAGGCAGCAGCACTAGCTGTACAGCTGTGTGATGGTGACAGGTGCCACCTTCTCTAGCTGAATGAACTGTCTAGTCAGTCTAGGTAAGAGTGTCTGCTAAATGACTCAAATGTAAAATGTACTGTAGGTCAGATCTTTTGACCTGGTTGAGCTAGAAGCGAGTCGTTTTTCGCTGTGATATTGGTGAAACAACAGTACAGTGAATCCTTATTACAACAAATATTATCTGGGAGATTTATTTTTATTTTTTTTTCCATAGTCGCACAGTACTCCCAAAATACAACCCCTGGTCGCACAACAAAACATTGAATCACGTGGACTGTTTTAGAGGCCCCATCACTAACCTCAATAGACTCAACCACTATTATTAGTTAGTGCTGGGCTAGAATAAAAGCCTGGACACCCCACAGCCCTCCAGCCCGGACCAGGGTTGGTGACCACTGGCCTAGTAGAGTCCATAAACCTGTACATGTCCACAAAGCAGTGTTCTAGAATATTTTGTGCAGTGCTCAAGCAATTTCCCCAACCGTCAACCCATTTCAAAAATGGGTCACACCCATATTGATCAGGCCACACCTCACCACACCCACCTAACGGGAGCAAACGTACCTCAAAAGGCACCGTTTTGAGGAAACGTGTCATTCAATACAAAACCGCAACGTAGCAAATGTTGAAGCGAAATGAACGCACCCCTAAAGGTTTTAGAGACAGAATCACTAACATGAAAAGACTCAACCACCATTGGTTAGTGCTGGGCTAGAACGAAAGCCCGGGCAGCCAATAGCTGGGTGATTCATCCGTTTTGGATCTGTATGTTGTCGTGGAAACCTGACCCAATCAGGGTCTGTGATTGGCTCACCTCTCCATGATTGACTGGCACTCCTTCCTCCAGGTGAATCTGCTTCCCCTCCGCAGCCTAAGAGGACCGCCCACCACCCCGCCCCTCTCCCCGGGACTGACCCCCATCCTCCAATCAGGCTCCTCCTTCACCAGGGAGCGCATCGACAGGGTAGCACCTACAGGGGGCGACAGAGGGAGAGATGAGAAGGAAAATAATGGAGGAGAAGGCACACCTACAAAAAAAGATCACTGATTGCAACTAGTAGCCTGATTGTTCAATAACCATTTTCTTTTGCTAAGTATAAAACTGTTTCAAGACAAGCTAACATTTACAAATTAACAAAATCCCCCACACCAGGAAGGCCGACAGTGGACATACAGTGAATTCGGAAAGTATTCAGACCCCTTGACTTTTTCCGCATTTTGTTACATTACAGCCTTATTCTAAAATGGATTAGTTTTCCCCCCCTCTTCAATCTACACACAATACCCCATAATGACAAAGCAAAAACAGGTTTTTAGAACATTTTGCAAAAAAAAGAAGAACAAACGGAAATATCACATTTACATAAGTATTCAGACCCTTTACTTAGTACATTGTTGAAGCACCTTTGGCAGTGATTACAGCCTCGAGTCTTCTTGGGTATGATGCTACAAGCTTGGCACACCTGTATTTGGGAGTTTTTCCCATTTTTCTCTGCAGATCCTCTCAAGCACTGTCAGGTTGGATGGGGAGCGTCGCTACACAGCTATTTTCAGGTCTCTCCAGAGATGTTCGATCGGGCTCTGGCTGGGCCACTCAAGGACATTCAGACACTTGTCCCGAAGCCACTCCTGCGTTGTCTTGGCTGTGTGCTTAGGGTCGTTGTCCTGTTGGAAGGTGAACCTTTGCTCCAGTCTGAGGTCCTGAGCGCTCTGCAGCAGGTTTTCATCAAGGATCTCTGGTGCCAGGTTTCCTCCAGACATGACGTTTGGCATTCAGGCCAAAGAGTTCAATCTTGGTTTCATCAGACTACAGAATCTTGTTTCTCATGGTCTGAGAGTCTTTGGGCTGTCATGTGCCTTTTACTGAGGAGTTGTTTCCATCTGGCCACTCTACCATAAAGGCCTGATTGGTGGAATGCTGCAGAGATGGTTGTCCTTCTGGAAGGTTTTCCCATCTCCACAGAGGAACTCTGGAGCTCTGTCAGAGTGACCATCGGGTTCTTGGTCAACTTCCTGACCAAGGCCCTTCTCCCCCGATTGCTCAGTTTGGCCGGGCGGCCAGCTCTAGGAATAGTCTTGGTGGTTCCAAACTTCTTCCATTTAAGAATGATGGAGGCCACGGTGTTCTTGGGGACCTTTAATGCGGCAGAATTTTTGTGGTACCCTTCCCCAGATCTGTACCTCGACACAATCCTGTCTCGGAGCTCTATGGACAATTCCTTCGACCTCATGGCTTGGTTTTTGCTCTGACATGCCCTGTCAACTGTGGGACCTTATCTAGACAATTGTGTGCCTTTACAAATCATGTCTAATCAATTGAATTTACCACAGGGGGACTCCAATCAAGTTGTAGAAACATCTCAAGGATCATCAATGGAAACAGGATGCACCGGAGCTCAATTTCGTGCCTCCTAGAAAAGGGTCTGAATATTTATGTAAATAAGGCATTTCTATTTTTATTTTTAATACATTTGCAAACATTTCTAAAAACCTGTTTTCGCTTTTTCATTATGGGGCATTTTGTGTAGATTGATGAGGAAAAACAATGTGATTTAATCCATTTTAGAATAAGGCTGTAACGTAACAAAATGTGGAAAAAGGGAAGGGGTCTGACTACTTTCCTAAGGCACTGTAGGCATGCAGGCTAGGCCATGTGATGACAGGCATGTCTCAGACAGACATGGGTGCTCAACTCCAGTCCTCCATGGCTCACAGACAGACAGGGGTGCTCAACTCCAGTCCTCCATGGCTCACAGACAGACAGGGGTGCTCAACTCCAGTCCTCCATGGCTCACAGACAGACAGGGGTGCTCAACTCCAGTCCTCCATGGCTCACAGACAGACAGGGGTGCTCAACTCCAGTCCTCCATGTCTCAGACAGACAGGGGTGCTCAACTCCAGTCCTCCATGTCTCAGACAGACAGGGGTGCTCAACTCCAGTCCTCCATGTCTCAGACAGACAGGGGTGCTCAACTCCAGTCCTCCATGGCTCAGACAGACAGGGGTGCTCAACTCCAGTCCTCCATGGCTCATAGACAGACAGGGGTGCTCAACTCCAGTCCTCCATGTCTCAGACAGACAGGGGTGCTCAACTCCAGTCCTCCATGGCTCAGACAGACAGGGGTGCTCAACTCCAGTCCTCCATGGCTCAGACAGACAGGGGTGCTCAACTCCAGTCCTCCATGGCTCACAGACAGACAGGGGTGCTCAACTCCAGTCCTCCATGGCTCAGACAGACAGGGGTGCTCAACTCCAGTCCTCCATGGCTCAGACAGACAGGGGTGCTCAACTCCAGTCCTCCATGGCTCAGACAGACAGGGGTGCTCAACTCCAGTCCTCCATGTCTCAGACAGACAGGGCCATATTGAGTCTAAAAAACAAATACAGCATATTCCTCCCACCTTTATTCCATTCCAAAATCTACTTTGGCCAAAAAGAAAATTAAAATGTGAAACAAGACACAAAACTAAATGTAAACGCAGAACACACTGCACTACAAACCTGGAGGAGTGGAGTTGATCACCCTGTTTTGGTCAGGAGGATTTAAGGGGGAAGGTTTCCTGTGTCCTGTGTCTGCTGGTTACCTGGCTGTGGCTGGTGGTTACCTGGCTGTTGCTGGTGGTTACCTGGCTGTTGCTGGTGGTTACCTGGCTGTGGCTGGTGGTTACCTGGCTGTGGCTGCTGGTTACCTGGCTGTGTCTGCTGTGGCTGGTGGTTACCTGGCTGAGGCTGGTGGTTACCTGGCTGTGGCTGGTGGTTACCTGGCTGTTGCTGGTGGTTACCTGGCTGTGGCTGGTGGTTACCTGGCTGTGTATGCTGTGGCTGGTGGTTACCTGGCTGTGGCTGGTGGTTACCTGGCTGTGGCTGCTGGTTACCTGGCTGTGGCTGGTGGTTACCTGGCTGTGGCTGGTGGTTACCTGGCTGTGGCTGGTGGTTACCTGGCTGTTGCTGGTGGTTACCTGGCTGTGGCTGGTGGTTACCTGGCTGTGGCTGGTGGTTACCTGGCTGTGGCTGCTGGTTACCTGGCTGTGGCTGCTGGTTACCTGGCTGTGTCTGCTGTGGCTGGTGGTTACCTGGCTGTGGCTGGTGGTTACCTGGCTGTGGCTGGTGGTTACCTGGCTGTGGCTGGTGGTTACCTGGCTGTGGCTGCTGGTTACATGGCTGTGGCTGGTGGTTACCTGGCTGTGGCTGCTGGTTACATGGCTGTGGCTGGTGGTTACCTGGCTGTGGCTGCTGGTTACATGGCTGTGGCTGGTGGTTACCTGGCTGTGGCTGGTGGTTACCTGGCTGTGGCTGGTGGTTACCTGGCTGTGGCTGGTGGTTACCTGGCTGTGGCTGGTGGTTACCTGGCTGTGGCTGGTGGTTACCTGGCTGTGGCTGGTGGTCACCTGGCTGTGGCTGGTGGTTACCTGGCTGTGGCTGGTGGTTACCTGGCTGTGGCTGGTGGTTACCTGGCTGTGGCTGTGGTTACCTGGCTGTGGCTGCTGGTTACCTGGCTGTGGCTGGTGGTTACCTGGCTGTGGCTGGTGGTTACCTGGCTGTGGCTGGTGGTTACCTGGCTGTGGCTGGTGGTTACCTGGCTGTGGCTGGTGGTTACCTGGCTGTGGCTGGTGGTTACCAGGCTGTGGCTGGTGGTTACCTGGCTGTGGCTGGTGGTTACCTGGCTGTGGCTGGTGGTTACCTGGCTGTGGCTGGTGGTTACATGGCTGTGGCTGCTGGTTACCTGGCTGTGGCTGGTGGTTACCTGGCTGTGCGGCAGCGGCTGCAGTGTACCATGGCAGCAGGTGCATCAGCAGCTCTCTCTGTCTGCCCCAGGTGGTGGAGGCGGTCACGGCTGAAGTGGCCGTGGTGCACGTAGCGGCGTTGCCCGTCACCATGACGTCTCTGTCCCCTCCCCTGGCTGCCCTGGGTCCAGAGCCCGGGTTTTGGCCCAACCCCTGACCGAGACCACCGAGCCCCAGACCCGCCGGGCCGTGCTGGCTTTCACTCCACCTCAGCCCTTCAGTCAGGACAAAACCAAACCAGTGGTCAGGCCAAAGCCAGATATAGGGAGACAGAGTTTTGGCAGTATTGGTTTGAGGGTTTTAGCAGAAGCCAAGTTGCCACTTGCAGTCAAAAATCACCTGTTTATATGTCCATCAACAGGAATATAGTTTATTAAAATGGCAGGCCAGACATGTTCTATAACGGAATCCTACTGATCGTTGAGTTCTGTTCTGAACAGGTATACAGCTCCTAAGAAGCTAATAATTGTAGCATTATTAAGTGCCTGCTTGGTAGAAATGGCATAGAGAAATGCTAGACAACATGTTAGCATCAGGATCCAGAATTAGCATCACTGTTAGTGTTAGATAGGGTTATTAATTGTTAGCCATGTAGGAATGAAAACCAGCACCTCCAGGATCAGGTCTGAGTACCACAGAAGCTGTGGCAAAGCTTGGGAAGGAGAGGAAGCGGGGATGGTGAGATGAGGGCTTATTTCATGCATTTTTGCTCATGTGACTTGTATGGTGACTCAAAGACAAAAAAAAAAATGGGACATAGCCTAAACATTCCATTATGTAGGCTACGTCTTCGCTGATGTATAATTGAGCAAAAAAGTTTAGTATGGTTTAGAAAACAGTCCCACACATGTCTGAAGGTGGTGTTATCCTCTTACCAGATCATGATGTTACTCTAACTTGTCTTAAAAGGATAGTTGGAGATTTGGAAAATTAACCCTTTTTTTTTTGTTTTACTTAACCAGAGTCAGATGAACTCATGGACACCATTTGTATGTCTCTGTGCAGTTTGAACGAAGTTGAAGGTAGTTTCTGGAGCCATTGCTAACTAGCGTTAGCGCAAAGACAGTAAGGTCGACAGGAACCGCTAGCTTAATTGCCAAAAATAGAGCTTAATTGCCAAAATCTAGAACTATCCCTTTAAGATATAGCTAGATGGAAACCACATTCATTCAAACCAGATTCCTTTCACATTATTGATTAGTATCTACAGTAACAGTTATGTTTTTATCCTACTACGAGTCATAAATATCTCTGTCTCCTGACCTCCTGACCTGACCTCCGTCCTTCACGGAACTCTATCTATCCCTCCAGGACCATGTGTGTGGTGTGTGTGAGCGAGTCCGTCCGTGTCACAATGCTTGGCCAATAGGGATGGGACATAAACTAAAATGTACAGAGGGACAGATGGCAAGCACAAGCAGCTTCCAAGATCACTTAAATTGTCATAGAGTCAACATTAACCCCTTCCTCCCCTAGCACCATAGACTAGCCAACAGTAGCCCCCCCCTCCTACCGTGGTTGTTACCTGGGTTGTTCCTCTCCAGCAGGTACCAGCGGTAGAAAGATCTGCGTTTGGAGTCGCTCATCTCCAAGCCCTGCTGCAGCAACCACTGGGAGATATAACTCTGACTGATACCTAGGGAGAGGAGAGGAGATATAACTGACTGATACCTAGGGAGAGGAGATATAACTCTGACTGATACCTAGGGAGAGGAGATATAACTCTGACTGATACCTAGGGAGAGGAGATATATCTGACTGATACCTAGGGAGAGGAGATAACTCTGACTGATACCAAGGGAGAGGAGAGGAGATATCTCTGACTGATACCAAGGGAGAGGAGATATAACTGACTGATACCTAGGGAGAGGAGAGGAGATATAACTGACTGATACCTAGGGAGAGGAGATATAACTCTGACTGATACCTAGGGAGAGGAGATATAACTCTGACTGATACCTAGGGAGAGGAGATATATCTGACTGATACCTAGGGAGAGGAGATAACTCTGACTGATACCTAGGGAGAGGAGATATATCTGACTGATACCTAGGGAGAGGAGAGGAGATATAACTAACTGATACCAAGGGAGAGGAGATATAACTGACTGATACCTAGGGAGAGGAGATATAACTGACTGATACCTAGGGAGAGGAGATATAACTAACTGATACCTAGGGAGAGGAGATATATCTGACTGATACCTAGGGAGAGGAGAGGGGATATCTCTGACTGATACCTAGGGAGAGGAGAGGGGATATCTCTGACTGATACCTAGGGAGAGGAGATATATCTGACTGATACCTAGGGAGAGGAGATATATCTGACTGATACCTAGGGAGAGGAGATATAACTGACTGATACCTAGGGAGAGGAGAATAACTCTGACTGATACCTAGGGAGAGGAGAGGGGATATCTCTGACTGATACCTAGGGAGAGGAGAGGGGATATCTCTGACTGATACCTAGGGAGAGGAGATATATCTGACTGATACCTAGGGAGAGGAGATATATCTGACTGATACCTAGGGAGAGGAGATATAACTCTGACTGATACCTAGGGAGAGGAGAGGATATATATCTGACTGATACCTAGGGAGAGGAGAGGATATATATCTGACTGATACCTAGGGAGAGGAGATATATCTGACTGATACCTAGGGAGAGGAGATATATCTGACTGATACCCAGGGAGAGGAGAGGAGATATAACTGACTGATACCTAGGGAGAGGAGATATAACTCTGACTGATACCTAGGGAGAGGAGAGGAGATATAACTGACTGATACCAAGGGAGAGGAGATATAACTGACTGATACCTAAGGAGAGGAGATATAACTGACTGATACCAAGGGAGAGGAGAGGAGATATAACTGACTGATACCTAGGGAGAGGAGATAAGATGATATAACTGACTGATACCTAGGGAGAGGAGAGGAGATATATAACTCTGACTGATACCTAGGGAGAGAGGAGATATAACTCTGACTGATACCTAGGGAGAGGAGATATAACTCTGACTGATACCTAGGGAGAGGAGATATAACTGACTGATACCTAGGGAGAGGAGAGGAGATATAACTAACTGATACCTAAGGAGAGGAGAGGAGATATAACTGACTGATACCTAGGGAGAGGAGATATAACTGACTGATACCTAGGGAGAGGAGATAAACCTGACTGATACCTAGGGAGAGGAGATATAACTGACTGATACCTAAGGAGAGGAGAGGAGGAGAAGGAAGGTAGATAAGAAGAGGAGAAGAGGAGAGCCAGGGAGAACGCAATATAAAATATCCTAGAGAGAAAGACAGTAATAGTCATACAAAACGATGTAAACAGTACACACTAGAAAACAGATGCCACCGGTACACTAAAAGCTGTCTGAGCAGAATAGATGCATTACCTGTGACCTGTCCCACGATGGCCTGGGAGATCCTGCGGTTGTTGAGGAAGGTTTTGATTTCCTCCTTCACCAGGTTACTGTCCCTCCTACAAACAACAGGGACCACAGAGTAAGAACAGACCACACACTTCCTGAATCAGACACCACAGAGTAAGAACAGACCACACACTTCCTGCTTCCTCACATCTGCACTAATGTGGAACTACTGGTGGAAGTGAATACATTCTCCACCACATGGGCTTTACCTCCCCTGTACTTTTAGACAAACAGATGAAGGATTGACGATTGACAGATTCGGAGCCTATGACTCGAGATTCACCATTTTTGGAGATCAATGTACACACAGAATCAGAGCGACTGTGGTTTCTGGAATGTCTACAAAATTGTGGGGAAAAACAGACGGGGCTTAGAATAACAACATGTAAACTATATTTAGTCTCCAAATGTTTATTGAAAACATAAATACATTTGCACAACGAGCTCTTGTCTCTCAAATACAACATTAGAGTTGTTGTTAGCTAGCTAGCTAGCTAGCATATTAGCATAGGTGGCAAAATAGATCAGTCAAAACAAGACATGGCACGAAGAACAAGATAAAACTAGCTGAAACGAGCCACCACGATTCCCCACATGGCAGCTTCTTGTCATTGTTGCTAGCCATCTGGCCCTCCAGAACCACAACACGTGGACTTCTGCCCCATTGAAGCGTGCGCATCGTTTTCGTGACGTTGTCAGCTAACCCCTCTATTGCCAGAGACTGAGGGGGTATGATTAATCTCGCCCCGGGCGCCCGTGTAGGCTTGTTTTGCACCGGCTGAAAGTTGATTGCATTCGATTTGGAACCGGGCTGCCTCCAGGGCGTGAGCCAGGTGCCCCGCTCTGTCAGACGAAAAAGCAGGCTCAAAACAAAACACGTAATTAATTATGTGTAGTAATTAATAGGATTCTGTGTTTTGATAAAAACGCTTTATCTACTTTCCTAATGAAAACTAGTTATAAAATTCTAACATTGATTTTATGTTAAAGAGATGTTTGTTTCTGGACGATGCACCGTGCTGCCTATTTTTTTAGTCATTTAGCAGACGCTCTTATCCAGAGCGACTTACAGTTAGTGCATACATTATTTTATTTTTTCATACCCCCTGTGGGAATCGAACCCACAACCCTGGCGTTGCAAACGCCATGCTCTATCAACTGAGCTACATCCCTGCCGGCCATTCCCATTAAAACTTGAAACGATGCACCGTGCTGCCTATTTTCCAGTTTTAATGTCACAACTACTGTGTCAAGCTCCAAACACAACAATGCAGTAATCAATATCAATGTAGCACTAAAAATTAGATAAGGTACAACAAAAAACACACGAGACATATGTATAGGGGTAAGGTGAAAGTATTCACCCCCCTTGGCATTTTTCCTATTTTGTTGCCTTACAACCTGGAATTAAAATTGATTTTTTGGGGGGTTTGTATCATTTGATTTACACAACACTTTGAAGATGCAAAATATTTATAAAAATAAAATAAATAAATAAATAATATATATATAACTATTCACCCCACCCCCCCCCCCACCCCCAAAGGCAATACTTTGTAGAGCCACCTTTTGCAGCAATTACAGCTGCAAGTATCTTGGGGTGTCTCTGTAAGCTTGGCACATCTAGCCACTGGGATTTTTGCCCGTTCTTCAAGGCAAAAATGCTCCAGCTCCTTCAAGTTGGATGGGTTCCGCTGGTGTACAGCAATTTCTAAGTCATACCACAGATTCTCAATTGGATTGAGGTCTGGGCTTTGACTAGGCCATTCCAAGACATTTAAATGTTTCCCCTTAAACCACTTGAGTGTTGCTTTAGCAGTATGCTTATTGTCCTGCTGGAAGGTGAACCTCCGTCCCAGTCTCAAATCTCTGGAAGACTGAAACAGGTTTCCCTCAAGAAGAATTTCCCTGTATTTAGCGCCATCCATTATTTATTTAATTCTGACCAGTTTCCCAGTCCCTGCCGATGAAAAACATCCCCACAGCATGATGCTGCCACCACCATGCTTCACTGTGAGGATGGTGTTCTCGGGGTGATGGGAGGTGTTGGGTTTGCGCCAGACATAGCGTTTTCATTGATGGCCAAAAAGCTCAATTTTAGTCTCATCTAACCAGAGTACCTTCTTGCATATGTTTGGGGAGTCTCCCACATGCCTTTTGGTGAACATCAAACGTGTTTGCTTATTTTTTTGTTTAAGCAATGGCTTTTTTCTGGCCACTCTTCCGTAAAGCCCAGCTCTGTGGAGTGTACGGCTTAAAGTGGTCCTATGGACAGATAATCCAATATCCGCTGTGGAGCATTGCAGCTCCTTCAGGGTTATCTTTGGTCTCTTTGTTGCCTCTGATTAATGCCCTCCATGCCTGGTCCGTGAGTTTTGGTGGGCGGCCCTCTCTTGGCAGGTTTGTTGTGGTGCCATATTCTTTCAATTTTTTTATAATGGATTTAAATGTTGCTCCGTGGGATGTTCAACGTTTTGGATATGTTTTTATAACCCAACCCTGATCTGTTCCTCTCCACAACTTTGTCCCTGACCTGTTTGGAGAGCTCCTTGGTCTTCATGGTGCCGCTTGCTTGGTGGTGCCCCTTGCTTAGTGGTGTTGCAGACTCTGGGGCCTTTCAGAACAGGTGTATATATACTGAGATCATGTGACAGATCATGTGACACTTAGTTAATAAAGTCCACCTGTGTGCAATTATGTGACTTCTGAAGGAATTTTCTGAAACAAGTTCTTTTTTTCATTACACTTCACCCAATTTGGACTATTTTGTGTATGTCCATTACATTAAAAGAATCAATATAAATTACAGGTTGTAATGCAACAAAATAGGAAAAACACCAAGGGGGATGTATGTATAGGGGTAAGCATACTATATACAGGGTCAATATGCCTTAGGCATGCTGCAAGGAGGCATGAGGACTGCAGATGTGGCCAGGGCAATAAATTGCAATGTCCGTACTGTGAGACGCCTAAGACAGCGCTACAGGGAGACAGGACGGACAGCTGATCGTCCTCGCAGTGGCAGACCACGTGTAACAACACCTGCACAGGATCGGTACATCCAAACATAACACCTGTGGGACAGGTACAGGACGGCAATAATAACTGCCCGAGTTACACCAGGAACGCACAATCGCTCCATCAGTGCTCAGACTGTACGCAATAGGCTGAGAGAGGCTGGACTGAGGGCTTGTAGGCCTGTTGTAAGGCAGGTCCTCACCAGACATCAACAACGTCGCCTATGGGTACAAACCCACCGTCGCTGGACCAGACAGGACTGGCAAAAAGTCCTCTTCATTGACGAGTCGCGGTTTTGTCTCACCAGGGGTGATGGTCGGATTCGCATTTATCGTCGAAGGAATGAGCGTTACACCAAGGCTTGTACTATGGAGCAGGATCGAGGTGAAGGGTCAGTCATGGTCTGGGGCGGTGTGTCACAGCATCATCGGACTGAGCTTGTCATTGCAGGCAATCTCAACGCTGTGCGTTACAGGGAAGACATCCTCCTCCCTCATGTGGTACCCTTCCTGCAGGCTCATCCTGACATGACCCTCCAGCATGACAATGCCACCAGCTATACTGCTTGTTCTGTGCATGATTTCCTGCAAGACAGGAATGTCAGTGTTCTGCCATGGCCAGCGAAGAGCCAGATATGTATAGCCAGATATGTATAGGGGTAAGTTGACTAGGCATCAGGATATTTGATAAACAGATTAGCAGCAGCGTAAATGAAGATTGTATGCGAGTGTGTGTAGAGTCAGTATAAATGTGTGTGCATGTTGTGTGTGTGTTGGTGTCGGTCTGCCCTCAAATCCTCTCCTCATGCACTCCTCCAGGTCCCAGTCTTCTCTCTCTCTATCTCTCCCCCTCCGGTTGAAAACGGGCCAGCATAAAATAACTCCCTCTCTGTCATAAAGCCTTCTGCCTTCTGTAGATCCTGTTAGCCTGGCTGCTCTCTTCATCCCATCCCTCCCTACACACCTGACCCAAATTAGTCAGGCTAACAGCCATCATCACCAGGGACTGGCCGTTATTTTCTGATAATGATGTAATCATCATCCTCTCCCAGCGCAACAAAGACTAGCTTCTCTTCCCCCGCTTACTGTGTTCACCTCAAATAACCCTCCTTCTCTTTTTCATGATTCACTGATCTCTCCTAAGCTTCTTCTACCATCTTTAAGCAGTAGGCCTTTACCTCTCCTCAATACTATCCTATAGGCCTACATCTCTTTTCTCCTTACCTGTCTCCATAACTGAAACCCTCAACCAACCCCTCAACCAACTCACCTCATGTACTCCTCCACCTTCTCCTCAAGGTCCCAGTCCTCCTCCGCCATGATGTCATAGCTGAATGACCTCTGAACTCCGACCCCCGGGGGGTAAAGCGGCGGGGGCGAGGCCTCGTAGCTGTTGCTAGGCGACAGGGAGGCGCCATCCATCCCGGGTGTCTGCGTGGTGGCAGAGGCCAGGGAGAGGGAGGAAGAGGAAGAGGAGGAAGAGGAGGAGGAGGGGGCCGGGGCGGAGGCTGTGGTAGGGGTGGCGTTGATTGTGGGGTTGGCTGTGTGGGTGTCATTGCAGTAGTCGGGGTCTAGTCGCTCTAGGGATCCCAAGGCCTGGACGATCTGTGGCTTGGTCATCCCTGAGAGACGGAGGCGCTGGAGGAGGTCGATCTGCTCGATGGTGTAGCGTGGCTCCACCTCACAACACTCCATCCTGACATCTAACGGGTTAAAACACACATGACTTGTTCACAGACACACTTTCAATAAGTCTCTAAAATACTGTACAGTTGAAGTCGGAAGTTTACATACACTTAGGTTGGAGTCATTAAAACTCGTTTTTCAACCACTCCACTAATTTCTTGTTAACAAACTATAGTTTTGGCAAGTCGGTTAGGACATTTACTTTGTGCATGACAAGTCATTTTTCCAACAATTGTTTACAGACAGATTATTTCACTTATAATTCACTCTATCACAATTCCAGTGGGTCAGAAGTTTACATACACTAAGTTGACTGTGCCTTTAAACAGCTTGGGAAATTCCAGAAAATGATGTCATGGCTTTAGAAGCTTCTGATAGGCTAATTGAAATAATTTGAGTCAATTGGACGTGTACCTGTGGATGTATTTCAAGGCCTACCTTCAAACTCAGTGCCTCTTTGCTTGACATCATGGGAAAATCAAAAGAAATCAGCCAAGACCTCAAAAAACATTGTAGACCTCCACAAGTCTGGTTCATACTTGGGAGCAATTTCCAAACGCCTGAAGGTACCACGTTCATCTGTACAAACAATAGTACGCAAGTATAAACACCATGGGACCACGCAGCCGTCAAACCGCTCAGGAAGGAGAAGCGTTCTGTCTCCTAGAGATTAACGTACTTTGGTGTGAAAAGTGCAAATCAATCCCAGAACAACAGCAAAGGACCTTGTGAAGATGCTGGAGGAAACAGGTACAAAAGTATCTATATCCACAGTAAAACGAGGCCAATATCGACATAACCTGAAAGGCCGCTCAGCAAGGAAGAAGCCACTGCTCCAAAACCGCCATAAAAAAGGCCAGACTACGGTTTGCAACTGCACATGGGGACAAAGATCCTCATTCTATAGAAAATGTGTGGGCAGAACTGAAAAAGCATGTGCGAGCAAGGAGGCCTACAAACCTGACTCAGTTACAACCAGCTCTGTCAGGAGGAATGGGCCAAAATTCACCCAACTTATTGTGGGAATCTTGTGGAAGGCTACCCGAAACGTTTGACCCAAGTTAAACAATTTAAAGGCAATGCTACCAAATACTAATTGAGTGTATATAAACTTCTGACCCACTGGGAATGTGATGAAATAAATACAAGCTGAAATAAATCATTCTCTCTACTATTTAGCATAATAACAACTAGGCATTTATAGTAGCATTTAGCATAATAACAACTAGGCATTTATAGTAGCATTTAGCATAATAACAACTAGGCATTTATAGTAGCATTTAACATTTGACGTACTTTTACTGAGGCATCAGTGAACATAAAAGTACAAGTCAGAAACGTTAAATGTTAATATAAATGCCTAGTTGCCTGTCCAAACTTTGGCACAGTTTATATTTGGCAACGGTCACAATGCTTACACTCACCCTGCCATATTTGTCCTGGGCATAAGACAGTGCTGATTCACTGTCTGATTACTCATAAAGTTATAATAACATACAATGTATTCGGAAAGTATTGTTACATTACAGCCTTATTCTAAAATGGATTAGTTTTCCCCCCCCTCATCAATCTACACACAATACCCCATAATGACAAAGCAAAAACAGGTTTCAACATTTTTACAGATGTATTAAAAATAAAAAAACAGAAATACCTTATAAGTATTCAGACCCTTTGCTATGAGACTCAATTTAGCTGAGGTGCATCGTGTTTCCATTGATCATCCTTGAGATGTTTCTACAACTTGATTGATGTCCACCTGTGGTAAATTCATTTGATTGGACATGATTTGGAAAGGCACACACCTGTCTATATAAAGGTCCCACACTTGACAGTGCATGTCAGAGCAAAAACCAAGCCATGAGGTCGAAGGAATTGTCCATAGAGCTCTGAGACAGGATTGTGTCGAGGCACAAATCTGGGGAAGGGTACCAAAAAAATTATGCCGCATTGAAGGTCCCCAAGAACACAGTGGCCTCCATCATTCTTAAATGGAAAAAGTTTGGAACCACCAAGACTCTTACTAAAGCTGGCCGCCCGGCCAAACTGAGCAATCAGGGGAGAAGGGCCTTGGTCAGGGAGGTGACCAAGAACCCGATGGTCACTCTGACAGAGCTCCAGAGTTCCTCTGTGGAGATGGGAGAAACTTCCAGAAGGACAACCATCTCTGCAGCACTACACCAATCAGGTTCACCTTCCAACAGGACAACGACCCTAAGCACACAGCCAAGACAACGCAGGCGTGGCTTCAGGACAAGTCTCTGAATGTCCTTGAGTGCCACAGCCAGAGCCCAGACTTGAACCCGATCAAACATCTCTGGAGAGACCTGAAAATAGCTCCCCATCCAACCTGACAGAGCTTGAGAGGATCTGCAGAGAAGAATGGGAGAAACTCCCAAATACAGGTGTGCCAAGCTTGTAGCATCATACCCAAGAAGACTTGAGGCTGTAATCACTGAGTAAAGGGTCTGAATACTTAAAGTATGTAACTGTGATATTTCCGTTCTATATTTTAAAAACCTGTTTTCCCTTTGTCATTATGGGGTATTGTGTGTAGATTGATGAGTGTGTGTGTGTGGGGGGGGAAACAATTGTTTCAATTTTATAATAAGGCTGTAACTTACAAAATGTGTAAAAAGTCAGAGGGTCTGAATACTTTATGAATGCACTGTAGCTACCCACTAGCAACAGCTTTTCAAAGGAAGTGTCTGGAGCATTTGGGGAAAAAAACAACAACAACCATAACTTGGGCTAAAATAGCCTATGTATTTATTGCCATGATGTTGAATGCTAGTATGTACTGTACATTAATAATTTAATATGTGCATTGATTGTAAAATAATGCGTGTCATTGCCCGTGACCGTGGCATTCCAGTGCCAGCCTGCAGCCTACCTGATAGCGGGGGTGAGAGGCGCCCTGTGGGCAGAGGTTCGGTTCGCGGTGCCGCAGCCGGGAGGCACCACTGTCGCATGGCTCGATGGAGCTGCCGGGGAGGGAGAGGTAGGCGACAGTTGCTGTTGCGGTGTAGGGACTAGGGAGGAAAAAGCTACTGTAGTCAGCTAGCAACTTCACTTCAGATATGATAAAAGTTTTTGTAGTTAAATTAGATATGGTCTGTTGTTAAACAAGTTAGCTAACTAGCTATTCAAGTTAGCTTGTTGCTAGCCCATCTGCCAAGTGAGACGTGCCAGTCACTTTCACTGACGTGCTGCAGTCTGGTTCGGTTAGCTGGTTAGCTTATCATGCTAGCTAATTATTAGCTTGCTAGCTATCTATAATCTGTTGACACTAGCTTGCAACTTGCTATTAAAAGTAGCTAACTTCAGCAACATTGGATAGTTAGCTAGCTCATTGCATCCACCCTGCAGCAGTAGCTAGCACACGCTAATTAGGTCATAAACCAGAGAACGTTGCACAAAAAAAATGATCTTGATTTAGCCGGAGTGAGAGGTAATGGAATGCTAATGCAGACTGATGGCGCTAACCCGCAGCGCCCCTTTTATCTTACCCCCCGCTGCTGTGGCAAGCTGCAGCCGTGTAGATGGGTAGCTAACGCTGCAGGAGGCGACGCTATCTGGGCACTTCTCTTGAAATGCTCAACCATGCACGTCGACCGACCCACTTCGTAACGGTTTCCAACTAGCTAATGAAGGTGATCCGTGCACGGTCACATTGTCCCGGGATGCAGCAGCACCGTAGAGAAACCGAGTCGGTGTCAGTTTCTGACCTCCAACCCCACCACACTGTCCCGGGATGATATAGGAAGTTATACATCTGGGAGGGAAAATCAAAACGTTTATTTATTTATTAATACATTCAGTGCAAAAAAAAAAAAAAAAAAAATTGATAGTGCAAACCTTATAGCTATCAGCCTATAATAAAGTTATCCGTAAAGCACTTTGTGGCAAAGCATTTTGTGACAAATATGAAAAAAAGGCTTTGTTAATACATTTGATTGATGCATTGATTGATAAAACTATATTAGGCTACATTTGATTATATTCCTTGTGTAGACTGTTGGTATTTCTATATCTGATCTGTTTATTAAGTAGACCTAGTGACAGTCCAGGAGCTAGTGCACTAAGGGCTTTTGACCTCAGAATAATATAATAATATAATATGCCATTTAGCAGACGCTTTTATCCAAAGCGACTTACAGTCATGCGTGCATACATTTTTGTGTATGAACAGCCTCAATTCGTCAGGGCAAATCAAATCAAATCAAATTGTATTTGCCACATGTGCCGAATACAACAGGTGTAGACATTACAGTGAAAAGCTCACTTACAAGCCCTTAACCAACAATGCAGTTTTTAAGAAAAAAAAAAAAAGTGTAAAAAAAAAAAAAAGATAAGTTAAAAAAAGAAGGAAAAATATAATAATACAAATTTTTAAAAACGAATAATTAAAGAGCAGCAGTAAAATAAAATAACAGTAGAGAGGCTATATAGGGGGTACTGGTACAGAGTCAATGTGTGGGGACACTGGTTAGGCAAGGTGTTAGCTCCTGAGTGGCGCAGTGGTCTAAGGCACTGCATCGCAGTGCTAACTGTGCCACTAGAGATCTTGGTTCGAATCCAGGCTCTGTTGCAGCTGGCCGTGACCGGGAGACTCATGGGCGGCGCACAATTGGCCCAGCGTTGTCCAGGGTAGGGGAGGGAATGGCCGGCAGGGATGTAGCTCAGTTGATAGAGCATGGCGTTTGCAACGCCAGGGTTGTGGGTTCGATTCCCATGGGGGGCCAGTATAAAAAAAAGTTTTCACTAACTGTAAGTCGCTCTGGATAAGAGCGTCTGCTAAATGACTAAAATGTAAATGTAATGTGTTGTTCCACAGGGATGCTGGCCCTTGTTGACTCCGATGCTTCCCACAGTTGTGTCAAGTTGGCTGGATGTCCTTTGGGTGGTGGACCGTTCTTGATACACACGGGAAACTGTTGAGTGTGAAAAACCCAGCAGCGTTAGAGTTCTTGACACAAACCGGTGCGCCTGCCATACCTCGTTCAAAGGCAATTCAATCTTTTGTCTTGCCCATTCACCCTCTGAATGGCACACACACACAATCAATGTCTCAAGGCTTAAAAATCCTTCTTTAACCTGTCTGCTCCCCTTCATCTACACTGATTGAAGTGGATTTAACAAGTGACATCAATAAAGGATCATAGCTTTTACCTGGATTCCCCTGGTCAGTCTGTCCTTAAGGTTTTTCATTCTCAGTGGATGTCTGTATGTATTTCAATCGGCATGATCCCATATCATGCAGATTGCATGCAGACTTATAAATGGCATCAAGTGAAAGATACAGTGACTTCAGAAAGTATTACACATTTTGTTGTGTTACAACCTGAAATCAAAAAAGGGATTAAATTGATTTTTCTCTCACACATCTACACACAAAGTGAAAACATGTTTTTACAAATGTTAGCAAATTTATTTAAAATGAAATGCAGAAATATCTCAGTCACATAAGTATCCACACCCCTGAGTCAATACTTTGTAGAAGCACCTTTGGCAGCGATTACAGCTGTGAGTCTTTCTGGGTAAGTCTCTAAGAGCTTTGCACATCTGGATTGTACAATATTTACACATTATTATTTTTAAAATCCTTCAAGCTCTGTGAAGTTGGTTGTTGATCATCGCTAGACAGCCATTTTCAAGTCTTGCCATACATTTTCAAGCAGATTTAAGTCAAAGCTGTAACTCGGCCACTCATGAACATTCAATGTCTTCTTGGTAAGCGACTCCAGTGTAGATTTGGCTTTGTGTTTTAGGTTATTGTCCTGCTGAAAGGCAAATTTCCCAGTGTCTGGTGGAAAGCAGACTGAACCAGGTTTTCCTCTAGGATTTTGCTTGTGCTTAGCTCCATTCCGTTATGTTTTTATCCTGAAAAACTCCCCAGTCCTCAACAATTAGAAGCATACCCATAACATGATGCAGCCACCACTATGCTTGAAAATATGGAGAGTGGTACTCAGTAATGTGTTGTATTGGATTTGTCCCAAACATAGCACTTGGTATTCAGGGCAAACAGTGAATTGCTTTGCCACATCTTTTGCAGTGTTACTTTAGTGCCTTGTTGCAAACAGGATACATGTTTTAATTTTTTTATTAGGGCGGCAGGTAGCTTAGTGGTTAAGAGCGTAGTGGCAGTAACCGAAAGGTCGCTGCTTCTAATCCCCGAGCCGACTAGGTAAAAAATCTGTCGATGTGCCCTTGAGCAAGGCACTTAACCCTAATTTCTCCTGTAAGTCGCTCTGGATAAGAACGTCTGCTAAATGACTAAAATGTAAATGTAATGTTTTGGAATATTTATATTCTGTACAGGCTTCCTTCTTTTCACTCTGTCAATTAGTTTGACATAAATTCTCTCTCTCTCTCTCTCTCTCTCTCTCTCTCTCTCTCTCTCTCTCTCTCTCTCTCTCTCTCTCTCTCTCTCTCTCTCTCTCTCTCTCTCTCTCTCTCTCATTTTTGTGGTTGGAATCACAGTCTCCTTCTTTCTATGGTAAAAGTTGAACAATGAGTTGTTATCAGCCACTCCCTACACTGAGGCTGTTGCAGGTGTGTTTACCCAGCTAGTCCACTCAGTATAGGCATGCAGTCCTTCCCTCCCCTCTTTTGCGATGTGGCACAGCTGAGTAAGTCTTATTAAAGAGACACCTTACCTGACTTTTGCAGTTGAGTATTTTTTTTTACCAAGGGTAGAAGCCCACGGTTGGCAGTTGTGACAAGACTTACAATTTAGACTACACGTGAGGCAAGAGCCAGGGGCCTGTTGGAGGCCGAACTGAACTTCTACTACAAATTCGACAACTTGTACCTCCACTATGAACTGGGCGTTTTTGCAGGGCCTGCTCAGCGGGGTCAATAAGTACTCCACGGCGTTCGGTCGTATCTGGCTCTCCGTCGTCTTCATCTTCAGACTCATGGTCTTCGTCGTGGCTGCGGAGAAGGTGTGGGGCGACGAACAGAAAGACTTTGACTGCAACACCCGCCAACCCGGCTGCCACAACGTCTGTTACGACCACTTCTTCCCCGTCTCCCACAGCCGGCTCTGGGCACTCCAGCTCATCTTCGTCACCTGTCCCTCGCTACTGGTCGTCCTCCATGTTGCGTACAGAGATGAACGAGAGCGGAAACACTGTCTGAAGCACGGCGAGGGATGCACCCGTCTTTACGACAATACGGGGAAGAAGCGTGGCGGCCTGTGGTGGACCTACTTCTTCAGTCTTCTGTTCAAGATGGTGGTGGACGGCGTGTTCATCTTCCTGTTGTTTTACATCTACGAGGCGTACTTCTTCCCGCTGGTGGTGAAGTGCTCAGAGGACCCCTGTCCCAACGAGGTGGACTGCTTTATTGCCAGGTATTTTTGCTATTATTACAAACAGAGCACAACACTTTGTACTGATCATTGCCGTGGCCCTGCGGTTCTCCTGACCATGTGACCTGACCACCAGGAGAATCTCTGAGCCCTAAGTAATCACAAATGTAGCGAATGACATGAGCTAATCCAGGATGTGATTACAATGCATTGTTATTTTGAACAGCCATAGGCCTGTATTATTTCATGAAGCTCATCTTTTATTCTCTGCTCCCCCCCAGACCAACAGAGAAGCGAGTGTTCACAGTCTTCATGGTGGTGGTTAGCTTCGTGTGTATCCTCCTGACTCTGTGTGAGATCCTCTACCTGCTGGGGAAGAAGTGCAGGGAGTGTGTTGGCGGTGGAGGGCCCCGTGCCATCAGGGAGAGCCCCCGGTTCACCATGCCAGCTACCATACCCCTGACGGCGAACGATAACTCTGTGTTCAAGAAGTCTGAACTGGAGAAGACGAAGATGGCTGATGGTGGAGTGGCTGAGACAGAGAGCCCTGCTCCGGGTTACAGTGTGGCTATCTCCTAAGACTGTCATCTTTAATTCTGGTCCTGGAGACGCCATAGCATAGTGCAGGCTTTTCGTTCATGCCCAGTACTAATACATGATTAGATGCATCTAATCAAGGCATTGATGATTAGTGGATCAGTTGTGGGTTAGTACTGGTCCGGAACAAAAGCCTATGGAAAGCCTATGGAGTGTTTGGCAGTAATCAAGGCATTGGGGGCCAGTATGAAAAAAATAAAATAATAATAATGTATGCACTCACTAACTGTAAGTCGCTCTGGATAAGAGCGTCTGCTAAATGACTAAAAATGTAAATGTAAAATGATTAGTTGATCAGTTGTGTGTTAGTGCTGGTCTGGAACAAAAGCCTACGGAGTGTTTGGCAGTGCACAACGTTCTGTCATGTCTGTGTCAAGGACCTCATACACTGTTTAGTCTGAGTATGAAGATATGGGTCTAATACTCCAAAATGTTGTTTACAAAGTCACTGCCAAAATGGGACATCTTTTTTTTATTTTATTTTTACATGTTTTAGTCATGATTGATTAGAGTTTTTGTTTTTTGTAAGAAGTTTTTATTTCATGAAATGTACATTATTTGTAGTCTTGTTCAGTTATTGATATGCTCTTTGATACCATATGTAATATAATTTCAAGCCTAATGATTGTAGTCTGCTAATAATTTGAAATAAAACATTTTATTATGAATTATTTTTTTGTATTTTCTATAAATATAAATGCTTCTTCAATTTCAACTAAAATATCATGATGATTTTCAACTTAAGTCAAGTTGACTTGGCTCCGTTGAGCACAAAACTTAGAGTAAATCAGATTGGACCGTCTTTTTCATTCCAGCAACCATTTTAGGGCACTTTACATAATAATAATATGCCATTTAGCAGACACTTTTATCCAAAGCGACTTTTTTTGTGTATGGGGTGGTCCCGGGGATCGAACCCACTACCTTGGCGTTACAAGCGCCGTGCTCTACCAGCTGAGCTACGGAGGACCACAGGAGATGCAACAGTGCTCCATTAGAAGGTGTGGACTTGAGTAGTAAGCTTTGCATAACGTAATTAAACGGATCACATATTTTATGAAACAAATCTCACAGACAATGATCATATGTGATGTATAAACTTTGAATGAAGTTTTGTTCAAGAGCCACTCTAAAAAACATTCACACGGGACCTTAAATGTAACAAAGTTCATTCCTTGTGCAAGTGGCATGCAACTTACAAAACACCCGATGAAATCAAAGTGTTTTGGCAATGAAAGAGAACCACAAAATGACACACCTTGATAATGAAATGAATTAAATCATAGTTTAATCTACAGGTTGGCGGTAGTAGGACAGGAGTGGTCAGTAAACAGGGGTGGTAGACTGGACTCTCTAGATTAAATGACCTGATCACAGTCACATCCGGCATGACTCTACTCCATCAGACTAGGCAGCAGCACTAGCTGTACAGCTGTGGGATGGTAACAGGTGCCACCTTCTCTAGCTGAATGAACTGTCTAGTCAGTCTAGATAAGAGTGTCTGCTAAATGACTCAAAATGTAAAATGTGCATGTGTACATTGCTGAATGGGCATGAACACCAATGTTCATGCCCAGTGTTTGAGTATCTACAACTGTGAATCAACAAATACTACAACCACTAGTGGTCACCATATCAGTTCTCTGTGAGACTGGAGAGCACTATGTCCATATCCCGATACCTCCGTACCAAAGTTCCAGCTCTCCTGGCAAATAAAGGATCAGCGTTTTATCTCGGAATCTGTGGCAGGGCCGGATAAAGGAGGGGCGACTAGGCAGACATAGGGTGGTACCAAACCACACTCACCTGTGTGGGCCTGGGTTGGTACCAATACCAGAGTCACCTGGTGGGAACACTTAGTCACCATGACAACTCCAATGTTGATAGTGCATTTGATTTTAACAGGGTATTATTGCATCACTAACTGGCCTGTGGAAAAAAATAAAATAAAAAAAAATAAGCTTCACTGATTCCAAAGCTTGACCACACCTCCAGAGAGGGGCTAAAAGACCATGTCCAGACCTAGACCAGCCCTTGTTCAGCCCTGGCATTCAACAGTCAAATCAGACTGAGGCAACGTTGAACAGAGAGACAGACAAGCTAAAAATGGATTGAACATCAGCCCAGTGATCTGAAACAACTGTAAGTATGACTTGACTAATAATCAATCTGTAATAGTGATGCAAGTTACTTTTGTGTTTGAATGGAAATATGTTAACATGATTTACAATGCCTCAAAATGATGTGTATTCAGCAACAAGTACCTGTTTTTGAATATCATTCCACTGATTTCATAAAAATTACTTTGCTCAAGATGTTCCCCTATGAAATCCCGCAACAACAAAATGTGATTTTGTGAGCATTAGACTCTTGATGGAAGGCAAATAGTGTTTTGATCAAATATTAAAGCAGCCTTTCTTCAAAGAACCCACGCCTTTAAGCAAACAGCTTCAGAAGGTGAAGAGAGAGTCGCAGGGAGATTTGGATGAAAAGCTTGATCAGAGTCTAAATAAAAGGCTGTGAACAGATCTTTCAAAAGAAAAATACTTTAACACCCAGAAGAAACGTATTTCTATTTGTCATTGAAGAGTTGTAAACATATTACAGTACAGTGCTCAGCATATGTGGGAACTCCTTCAAGACTGTTGGAAAAGCATTCCAGGTGAAGCTGGTTGAGAGAATGCCAAGAGTGTGCAAAGCTGTCATCAAGGCATTTGAAGAATCTCAAATATAAAATATATTTTGATTTGTTTAACACTTTTTTTGGTTACTACATGATTCCATATGTGCTATTTCATAGTTTTGATGTCTTCACTATTATTCTACAATGTAGAAAATAGTTTTAAAAAAATAAGAAAAACCCAGGAATGAGTAGGTGTGTCCAAACTTTTGACTGGTACTGTATATGTTTTTCAGCTGGTAGATGATTTCCTGTTGTTTGCAGCTTTATCCAGAAAGCTTTTTGACCTATCATTCTGTAGCCTTCCAGTAGGGCAGGCGATGGCAATGCCAGTGTTAGGTAATGCCAAGAGGTCTGGACCTTGATTTTAAGTAGTTCCCTTTCCCTGACATGGAGGATGGCCTGGCTCAATCCATACCCTGGTTGTTCAACCATTATCCATACACTTATTAGTTAATCACTTTCTCTTCTTCCTCCAGCTTCAAGTCCAAAGACAGACGCTCATCCACACAGCCGGGTGAAAGTTCAACGGTGAAAGAAGGGGATCCCACTCCGATCTCACCATGGACTGGAAGACGTTTGAGGCGCTGCTTAGCGGGGTCAACAAATACTCTACCGCGTTTGGACGTATCTGGCTCTCCGTGGTCTTCGTGTTTCGCGTCATGGTCTTCGTCGTGGCCGCAGAACGCGTCTGGAGTGAGGACCAGAAAGACTTTGACTGCAACACCCGCCAACCCGGCTGTGCCAACGTCTGTTACGACCACTTCTTCCCCGTCTCCCACACCCGGCTCTGGGCACTCCAGCTCATCTTCGTCACCTGTCCCACCTTCATGGTCGTGATGCACGTGGCGTACCGCGAGGAACGCGAACGCAAGTACCGCATCAAACATGGTGAGAACGCCCATCTCTACGACAACACAGGACAGAAGCACGGAGGACTCTGGTGGACATATCTCCTCAGCCTCTTCTTCAAGACGACCATCGAGGTGGCGTTCCTCTACCTCCTGCATCTCATCTACAACAACTTTGACCTGCCGCGACGCGTCAAGTGCGACCTCTGGCCTTGTCCCAACCAGGTGGATTGCTACGTCGGCCGGCCCACAGAGAAGAGGGTGTTCACCTACTTCATGGTGGGAGCGTCGGCTGTGTGTATAGTGCTCAACGTGTGTGAGATCTTTTACCTGATAGCCATCCGGGTGCTGAGGATCAGCCACAGCAGAAGCCTCCACACCTCCCCCAAGATGAGCTGCTCTGAGCTGGACTGTGATGGGTGTCAGACGCTGCCGGTGACAGCAGAGGAGCAGAAGGGCAACGAGAAGAACATCTGTCTTTTGAGTCAGACATGAAACTTTTTACAATTGAACTTCTATTAAGATGCAAATCTTTTATTGACTAAATGTTGTAAGCGAAATCTGACTGTTGTCAATACATTTATTTTAGTCAAATGTAATTTGTATGGCCACCACCTCGCCCTCCCTTATGGACACACCCCTGTGAGGGTGAACGAGTTCTTGAAAGGGATTTGACAGGTCGTGTTCCCCTGCTCAGACGTTACTGACGAATGCCAGAGTTAACAACGCCTGGTAGGTATTTTACGTATCAGCTAACCACATCATATGCTAATCTGTTGCCCGATGGCACAGTCGATGTTGTCGCATGCAACCATTGGTTGATGCATGTAACATCTGAGCAAGGGAACGCAACCCCCTGCTCATCTGATCTGGTCCCCTGCATTTTTCTGTATTGTTTTAGCTTTTAAGATGTACAGTTCATTGATTAGCCATGATAACTTCTAATTATTATCTTAATTTGTTTTATTTTTGGTTCCTTAGTAATTTCTAGTTTGCTTACAATGAAATGCAGGGCAGTGTACAGACCTTTCAGGGAGCAGGTGCTCAAAATGAAAGTCATATCGCGAACATAACATTGACATTTTTTGTCATTTAGCAGACGCTCTTATCCAGAGCGACTTACAGTTAGTGAGTGCATACATTATTTTTTATTTTATTTTTCATACTGGCCCCCTGTGGGACATAACTACTAACTGCCTCTTTAGCAAACATTTTAAATGTTTTCAGCATAGGCCTGTTTATTTCTATAACAACACACTCACTCATCACAAACTGTAAGCAAGCTTGTTACAGAGCCTCCCAAAGACATGATTGACATCTGAAAGAGGGTGGGCTAGCAGCTGGTCATTGATATTGATGATTGATGTAAATCTGCTATTTAGCTAGCTAAGATTACTTTTTTTTACTGATTGTGATTTATCTTCAATGCTCTTAATTAATAACTTCAGATAAACAGCCTAATATTCATAACCTTCAAACTAATGAAATATGGCTGGCTGGCTGGCTAGTGGCTTGTGTGGATATACAGGGCAGACCAACGGGCGGGGCGGGGCGAGGCGGGGTGGGGGTGGCGAACTGACGACGTCACGACGACTTCGGGGAGGTGGGTTCGGAACAACAACGACAAATATTCTACACAATTAAAAAAAAAATATATATATATATATACCACCACACAAAAGTGCACTTGGCAAGTGGGAGGGCTATGGGGCAGGTGCTTGGACACAGTTAGACCCTATCTGTGCGCGTGCCTGGCTGTTATATTTGCTTTTTGATTGGTCTATCTCTCCACCTAGTGGCGACAAAGTACCATCATATCCTTTCCGTTGAATAACTTTTTTTTTTTGGGGGGGGGGGGGGTAACTTTATTTGAAATATTTGATAACTGCATTTTGACTATAGTTTATGTCATTTGTTTCCGTAAGTATTATGATTGAATTCATGTTGTTTTTAAAATAAAAGAGAAAATCACAACAACAAGTCACGTGTGTGTTTAAATTCCAGGGGGATCCGCCAATTATTTTATATATATATATATATATGCGGCTGTGTGGTCGGGTCGGGAACGGACTGACGTGGAACGTTCGACCGGAGGAGGGAAAGAGAAAACATATATAAAATCATCGTATAGAATCTGTTACATTAACACAAAATCTGGACAGATGCTGACTTAAACGGGGGGATCAAATCACCAACAATGGCCAATACAGGTGAATATTGGACCGCAGTTCATAATCTGTTTAACCTTTGACAATTGACACGAGTGCTACAGTATTCTGGTAGACAGGATAGAGAATATAGTGAGTTATTCAGTTCAGCCACTGAGCCATCCTGTCCCATCAGGTTTCTGTTTGAACTGTTTTGACTGAAGAATGGGGTTAGAGTGAGGTAAAAGTCACCGCTAGGCCGTTAGACAATAGAAGGATCTTTATGGTTGTATAAACCACTCTGAGCCTGGTGACCAGTGGTTGAATTGGAACGTTTCCCGCTGCAAAAAAAATTACAGAAATATTCCACACTTTATTTTCCTGACATTGTGTTAAACTGAAGGGAATAGACATTACACTTTGAATGTTTGATGATTAGAATTCCCACAGTCGACACATGTTTTATGACCAACATCTAATATGTCATACTGACAGACGGGGGGGCAGGACCAGACCAATGCATCAGTTATAGTCGGTCTATCCATCACCTGCCAGGCCAGTAGGTAGGGAGGAACAGTGTGAAAATGTGCCCGGTGAAACATAATGTAGGCCTGGCTGTTAATTAGAACCTTGGTTGGTGGGAGTGTGGATGTTGTGAAACAACGTTGTGGTTGTGTGAAGGGGGTGGACACCCCTTATGGTAATACAGAGGTGATGAAGCTACCCAAGGCTAAATGCCTATAAACATCTAAACTTACATAAGCGCCCTGTTAAAGACCGTATAGTGGTGAAATGCGTTGGTTAATTTTCAATTAAACTTCTGAAATTTTAATTTTAATTTTTATGATAGACATGTTCTACTCAGTTTTCACTGTCCAACAAGACTCATTGTACCTGTAAAACGAAATATGATAAAGTAAAGTACATATCCTAAATACAACATTAATCTGTCACTAGGCTCGATTTATAAAGGATCAGTTTCACAGTGTTGTGAGAAGTGTTGAGACTGTCATTATTCCACACTGCCTGGATGTGGTCTGATTTTAGATGGCATGTCTGTCTGTGATACCACACTGTTAACCCAACCTCATACATGAACTGGGTTCAAATACTATTTGACATCTTTCAAATAATTTAAGCGTTTGAATGGAATGGCCTGTCGGCTGAGTTTGCACTTTTGGGGCTTTTCTATTAGTCCATTGCGAAAGGCAAGCTCAATCAAGCACATCTTAAATATTTGAAATTATTTCAAATAGTATTTGAACCCAGGTCAGCTTCTCATACAGTTGAAGTCGGAAGTTTACATACACCTTAGCCAAATACATTTAAACTCTATTTTTCACAATTCCTGACATTTAATCCTAGTACAAATTCACTGTCTTAGGTCAGTTAGGATCCCCACTTTATTTTAAGAATGTGAAATTTCAGAATAATAGTAGAGAGAATGATTTATTTCAGCTTTTATTTCTTTCATCACATTCCCAGTGGGTCAGAAGTTTACATACACTCAATTAGTATTTGGTAGCATTGCCTTTAAATTGTTTAACTTGGGTCAAACGTTTCGGGTAGCCTTCCACAAGCTTCCCACAATAAGTTGGGTGAATTTTGGCCCATTCCTCCTGACAGAGCTGGTGTAACTGAGTCAGGTTTGTAGGCCTCCTTGCTCGCACACACTTTTTCAGTTCTGCCCACAAATGTTCTATAGGATTGAGGTCAGGGCTTTGTGATGGCCACTCCAATACCTTGACTTTGTTGTCCTTAAGCCATTTTGCCAAAACTTTGGAAGTATGCTTGGGGTCATTGTCCATTTGGAAGACCCATTTGCGACCAAGCTTTATCTTCCTGACTGATGTCTTGAGATGTTGCTTCAATGTAGCCATATCATTTTCCTTCCTCATGATGCCATCTATTTTGTGAAGTGCACAAGACCCTCCTGCAGCAAAGCACCCCAACAGCACCCCCGTGCTTCACGGTTGGGATGGTGTTCTTCGGCTTGCAAGCTTCCTCCTTTTTCCTCCAAACGTAATGATGGTCATTATGGCCAAACAGTTCCATTTTTGTTTCATCATACCAGAGGACATTTCTCCAAAAAGTAAAATCTTTGTCCCCATGTGCAGTTGCAAACCGTAGTCTGGCTTTTTTTGGCGGTTTTGAAGCAGTGGCTTCTTCCTTGCTGAGTGGCCTTTCAGGTTTTGTCGATAATGGACTCGTTTTGCTGTGGATATAGAAACGTTTGTACCTGTTTCCTCCAGGATCTTCACAAGGTCCTTTGCTGTTGTTCTGGGATTAATTTGCACTTTTCGCACCAAAGTACGTTCATCTCTAGGAGACAGAATGCGTCTCCTTCCTGAGCGGTATGACGGCTGCGTGGTCCCATGGTGTTTATACTTGCTTACTATTGTTTGTACAAATGAAAGTGGTACCTTCAGGCGTTTGGAAATTGCTCCCAAGGATGAACCAGACTTGTGAAGGTCTACAAAAAATTATTCGGAGGTCTTGGCTGATTTCTTTTGATTTTCCCATGATGTCAAGCAAAGAGGCACTGAGTTTGAAGGTAGGCCTTGAAATACATCTACAGGTACACCTCCAATTGACTCAAATTATGTCAATTAGCCTATCAGAAGCTTCTAAAGCCATTACATCATTTTCTGGAATTTTCCAAGCTGTTTAAAGGCACAGTAAACTTAGTGTATGTAAACTTCTGACCCACTGGAGTTGTGATACAGTGAATTATAAGTGAAATAATTTGTCTGTAAACAATTGTTGGAAAAATTACTTGTGTCATGCACAAAGTAGATGTCCTAACCGACTTGCCAAAACTATAGTTTGTTAACAAGAAATGTGTGGAGTGGTTGAAAAACAAGTTTTACTGACTCCAACCAAAGTGTATGTAAACTTCTGACTTCAACTGTACATGTGAAACTCCTTGATGCAAAAGCATGTACTCTGTTTGGATAGAACCAGAGAGAGTACCAAACCCTAGAGATGTGTATGTTTAGCAGGTAATCATTAATGCCAGTGACATCTCCACTGTGGGTTTAACCCTGCTACTGTGTGGAGAAGATCAATAGTAAATGGACCCTGAACATGGACTTGATGATACTGTCTCTCCCTTCTCTCTGTTCTTCCTTATGATGTTTATATTCTCTCCCGTATCTATGTTCTCTCTCTCTCTCTCTCTCTCTCTCTCTCTCTGTCTCTCTCTCTCTCTCTCTCTGTCTCTCTCTCTGTCTCTCATGCTCTCTCTCTCTCTGTCTCTCTCTCTCTTTGTCTCGTGCTCTCGTGCGCTCTCTCTCTCGCTCTCTCTCGCTCTCTCTCGCTCTCTCTCTCTCTCTCTCTCTCTCTCGCTCTCTCCCTCTCTCTCGCTCTCTCTCTCCCTCTCTCTCTCTCTCTCTCGTTCTCTCTCTCTCTCTGTCTCTGTCTCTCTCTCGCTCTCTGTCTCTGTCTGTCTCTCTGTCTCTCTGTCTCTCTGTCTCTCTGTCTCTCTGTCTCTCCTCTGCCTCCCCCTCCCTCTCTATAGGTATGTGCTGTGCCAGCCTGGAGAAACCCAAGGCCCTGATGAAGATGGGTCTGAATGTGGTGCTTGTAGGACACGTCAACATCCTGCTGGGGGCGCTAGTCCACGGGGCTGTGCTGCGACACATCAACCTGAACACACAGGCCCGCACCATGGCGTACTCCATATCTAATGTAGTGGCACTCACTACTGGACTAGTGGTGAGACAGATATCTAATGTAGTACTACTGGACTAGTGGTGAGACTGAGATATCTAATGTAATACCACTGGACTAGTGGAGAGACTGAGATAACTACTCTATCACAAGAACCTTAAATTGGGTGATTTCTGTGTGTGTTGTCTCATCCAGCTGTAATGTGTCCCTGTAGGGTGTTGTTGTAGGAATCCTAGCCATCATCCTGTCTAATAACAAGAAGAGCAGAGTGATGGTGAGTTACTGATGTTTCCTTATGTGTCTGTCTATTCCCTGTAAGGCGATTCACCAGGTGAAAATAGCATGATATGATATTATTTCCCCAGGATTTTCTCTGAACTGTTCTGTATTGGTAGACTATTGATCCAGTATTATCTCTGAACTGTTCTGTATTGGTAGACTATTGATCCAGTATTATCTCTGAACTGTTCTGTATTGGTAGACTATTGATTCAGTATTATCTCTGAACTGTTCTGTATTGGTAGACTATTGATCCAGTATTATCTCCTCTGTATGTCTGATGTTTCTCTCTCTCTCTCTCTCTCTCTCTCTCTCTCTCTCTCTCTCTCTCTCTCTCTCTCTCTCTCTCAGACATGGTCGTTGTTTGTGGTCAGCCTGTTTGGTAGTCTCCTGGCCACGGCCTCTGTGATTTGCCTCACCGTTTCTGTGGTGAGGGCCATAGTTAACGGTGGGCGGAGCCTCCTGACTCACTGCCGGTTCCCCAACGCTATTGGCTACGCAAGCATCACCAACGACTGCCCCTTCGACCCCACACACGTTTACGTAAGTCACATAAGGAGTTAGCTTGTCATGTGGAGGGGTGGTCTGGACTTTTCAATTGATTGATTTGACCAGAAAGCGTTTTTAAACAGGAGACCTGGAAAGAAGTCAGCAGGAAGTAGTCATTGTTACCATACAGAGTAACAATGACTACACAGACAGAGACAAAACATTACAAACTAATCCAGCGGTCAACAACGTTTTCCTCCATGTGTGTGTCTTAGTGAGATGGATGCAGTAGGATGTCACCAGAAGTGTATCTTAGTGAGATGGATGCAGTAGGATGTTACCAGAAGTGTATCTTAGTGTGATGGATGCAGTAGGATGTTACCAGAAGTGTGTCTTAGTGTGATGGATGCAGTAGCATGTCACCAGAAGTGTATCTTAGTGAGATGGATGCAGTAGGATGTTACCAGAAGTGTATCTTAGTGAGATGGATGCAGTAGGATGTTACCAGAAGTGTATCTTAGTGTGATGGATGCTGTGGGATGTCACCAGAAGTGTATCTTAGTGTGATGGATGCAGTAGGATGTCACCAGAAGTGTATCTTAGTGAGATGGATGCAGTAGGATGTTACCAGAAGTGTATCTTAGTGTGATGGATGCAGTAGGATGTTACCAGAAGTGTGTCTTAGTGTGATGGATGCAGTAGCATGTCACCAGAAGTGTATCTTAGTGAGATGGATGCAGTAGGATGTTACCAGAAGTGTATCTTAGTGAGATGGATGCAGTAGGATGTTACCAGAAGTGTGTCTTAGTGTGATGGATGCAGTAGGATGTTACCAGAAGTGTATCTTAGTGTGATGGATGCTGTGGGATGTCACCAGAAGTGTATCTTAGTGTGATGGATGCAGTAGGATGTCACCAGAAGTGTATCTTAGTGAGATGGATGCAGTAGGATGTTACCAGAAGTGTATCTTAGTGTGATGGATGCAGTAGGATGTTACCAGAAGTGTGTCTTAGTGTGATGGATGCAGTAGGATGTCACCAGAAGTGTGTCTTAGTGAGATGGATGCAGTAGGATGTCACCAGAAGTGTGTCTTAGTGAGATGGATGCAGTAGGATGTTACCAAAAGTGTATCTTAGTGAGATGGATGCAGTAGGATGTTACCAGAAGTGTGTCTTAGTGTGATGGATGCAGTAGGATGTCACCAGAAGTGTGTCTTAGTGAGATGGATGCAGTAGGATGTTACCAGAAGTGTGTCTTAGTGTGATGGATGCAGTAGGATGTCACCAGAAGTGTGTCTTAGTGTGATGGATGCAGTAGGATGTCACCAGAAGTGTGTCTTAGTGAGATGGATGCAGTAGGATGTTACCAGAAGTGTATCTTAGTGAGATGGATGCAGTAGGACGTTACCAGAAGTGTGTCTTAGTGTGATGGATGCAGTAGGATGTCACCAGAAGTGTGTCTTAGTGAGATGGATGCAGTAGGATGTCACCAGAAGTGTGTCTTAGTGAGATGGATGCAGTAGGATGTCACCAGAAGTGTATCTTAGTGAGATGGATGCAGTAGGATGTTACCAGAAGTGTGTCTTAGTGTGATGGATGCAGTAGGATGTCACCAGAAGTGTGTCTTAGTGAGATGGATGCAGTAGGATGTCACCAGAAGTGTGTCTTAGTGAGATGGATGCAGTAGGATGTCACCAGAAGTTTGTCTTAGTGAGATGGATGCAGTAGAATGTTACCAGAAGTGTGTCTTAGTGAGATGGATGCAGTAGGATGTTACCAGAAGTGTATCTTAGTGAGATGGATGCAGTAGGATGTTACCAGAAGTGTATCTTAGTGAGATGGATGCAGTAGGATGTTACCAGAAGTGTATCTTAGTGAGATGGATGCAGTAGGATGTTACCAGAAGTGTATCTTAGTGAGATGGATGCAGTAGGATGTCACCAGAAGTGTATCTTAGTGAGATGGATGCAGTAGGATGTTACCAGAAGTGTATCTTAGTGAGATGGATGCAGTAGGATGTCACCAGAAGTGTATCTTAGTGAGATGGATGCAGTAGGATGTTACCAGAAGTGTGTCTTAGTGAGATGGATGCAGTAGGATGTTACCAGAAGTGTATCTTAGTGAGATGGATGCAGTAGGATGTTACCAGAAGTGTATCTTAGTGAGATGGATGCAGTAGGATGTTACCAGAAGTGTATCTTAGTGAGATGGATGCAGTAGGATATTACCAGAAGTGTATCTTAGTGAGATGGATGCAGTAGGATGTTACCAGAAGTGTATCTTAGTGAGATGGATGCAGTAGAACAGGGTTTTTCAATTCCGGTCCTGGAGGGCCAAAACACTTCTGTTTTTTATTTCTACCTGGTAGTTAATTGCACTCACCTGGTGTCCCAGGTCTGAATTAGCCCCTGATTAGAAGGAGAGGATGAAAAACAGAGGTGTTTCGGCCCTTTCAGGACCGGAATTGAAGAACCCTGCAGTAGAATGTCACCAGAAGTATATCTTAGTGAGATGGATGCAGTAGGATGTCACCAGAAGTGTATCTTAGTGAGATGGATGCAGTAGAATGTCACCAGAAGTGTATCTTAGTGTGATGGATGCTGTAGGATGTCACCAGAAGTGTATCTTAGTGTGATGGATGCTGTAGGATGTTACCAGAAGTGTGTCTTAGCGAGATGGATGCAGTAGGATGTCACCAGAAGTGTATCTTAGTGAGATGGATGCAGTAGAATGTCACCAGAAGTGTATCTTAGTGTGATGGATGCTGTAGGATGTCACCAGAAGTGTATCTTAGTGAGATGGATGCAGTGGGAAGTTACCAGAAGTGTGTGTGTCTGTCTGCATGTTGATCCATAACGGGGATACACTGAGACGGTTCTATCATGTACTGTATGTGCTCATGTCAGATGTTGCTGCCTGATGTGAATACTATATAGATGACTGGAGTGGCACTGTCTCTCCTACGTCTGACCTCCCAGAGACCAAGACACACACACACACACTCTCCGAGAGCCACCAAACCACGACCTGATCTCACTGACAGGTCTGCTGAAGCGATCCTGGAGACTCCCTCAGGGCTCTGTGCGTGTGTTTCTGTGTGTGTGTTTCTGTGTATGTGTTTCTGTGTGTGTGTGTGTGTGTGTGTGTGTGTGCGTGTGGATGTGCCATAAATGTGGATGTGCCATACAATTAATTTGTCAGTCTTATTTCCCATAAATGTCCCACCACAAATAACTAATTTCTGACACTCGGTAAGGGCGAGTTTGAATGACAAAATGACTCTTATAAAAACAATAGAACACTATGAAACATCTGGGAACCCAGGCCTGCTATTCATAGCAGACTTTGAAAAGGCATTTGATAAAGTACGACTGGAGTTTATATATAAATGCCTGGAGCGTTTCAATTTTGGAGAATCTCTTATAAAATTGGTTAAAATCATGTATAGTAACCCTAGGTGTAAAATAGTAAATAATGGCAATTTTCTGAAAGTTTTAAACTGTCAAGAGGAGTGTCACGATCGTTATTAGATGAGACGGACCAAGGCGCAGCGTGATAAGCGTACATCTTTAATTAGTACTTAACACACGAACAAAACCAAAACAACAAACCAACGATACGTGAAGTCCTGAGGTTACACACACCAAACCTTTACGGATCAAGATCCCACAAACTAACTGGTGCCAACAGGCTGCCTAAGTATGGTCCCCAATCAGAGACAACGAGCTACAGCTGTCTCTGATTGGGAACCACCCTGGCCAACATAGATCAACACGATCTAGAACAAAAACATAGAAAACTAAACAATGAAAATCCACACCCTGGCTCAACATTTAAGAGTCCCCAGAGCCAGGGCGTGACAGTACCCCCCCCCTGTTTCCCAGACACGCTTAATCTGTGTCTGGGAAACAGCCCCATGATGTTAATCTGTGTCTGGGAAACGGCCCCATGATGTTAATCTGTGTCTGGGAAACGGCCCCATGATGTTAATCTGTGTCTGGGAAACGGCCCCATGATGTTAATCTGTGTCTGGGAAACGGCCCCATGATGTTAATCTGTGTCTGGGAAACGGCCCCATGATGTTAATCTGTGTCTGGGAAACCGCCCCATGATGTTAATCTGTGTCTGGGAAACGGCCCCATGATGTTAATCTGTGTCTGGGAAACGGCCCCATGATGTTAATCTGTGTCTGGGAAACGGCCCCATGATGTTAATCTGTGTCTGGGAAACGGCCCCATGATGTTAATCTGTGTCTGGGAAACTGCCCCATGATGTTAATCTGTGTCTGGGAAACGGCCCCATGATGTTAATCTGTGTCTGGGAAACCGCCCCATGATGTTAATCTGGGTCTGGGAAACCGCCCCATGATGTTAATCTGCGTCTGGGAAACTGCCCCATGATGTTAATCTGTGTCTGGGAAACGGCCCCATGATGTTAATCTGCGTCTGGGAAACGGCCCCATGATGTTAATCTGTGTCTGGGAAACGGCCCCATGATGTTAATCTGGGTCTGGGAAACGGCCCCATGATGTTAATCTGGGTCTGGGAAACGGCCCCATGATGTTAATCTGGGTCTGGGAAACGGCCCCATGATGTTAATCTGGGTCTGGGAAACGGCCCCATGATGTTAATCTGTGTCTGGGAAACGGCCCCATGATGTTAATCTGTGTCTGGGAAACGGCCCCATGATGTTAATCTGTGTCTGGGAAACCGCCCCATGATGTCAGGGGAAATGGCATTTATAACTCTCTCTCTGTAGCACACACATTCCGTGCCCACTTTCCTCCCATACATATTACTATTTTAAATTTGTGATTGGCTCTGTACATGACTTTTAAAGTCAATCTGGTGTTTGCTGTAGACACACACACACACACACACACACACACACACACACACAGAGAGAGACACAGACACACTGACCCGTCTCTCTCCTCACTCCAGAGCACGACCCTGATCCTGTGGGTTCCTCTGATCGTGACCTGTATAGTCCAGCTGGTTTTCTCAGCGCGGTGTTTCTCTGCGTGTATGTCTTTCCTGGGTCTACCCTGCTTCCCTCACAAGATCAGGCCCAGGGACCATGGTAGAACGGTGAGGTTTGGCACTTCTCAGACACCATCCTGGCTCTTTGAGAACTATGCCCCAAAACACAAATTACTGCTCAAATCGCTCATAAAAATCTATGCATATATTTATTTCAGTCTCCTACCCAGGGTGCTTTGTTTTTTAAACTGTCTGCGTCTTTTTGTGTGTTTTAGATACACTCAGTAGCACCCGCAGAGCCGCCCTCTCTCCCACACTCCTTACCCCGTCATCTCCTTCATCTGCACGTTCTTCACTCGGACCCGTCTCATCTCAAGTCCCAGCGGCAGCCTCTTACCCCTCTTCCTCCTCCACATCTTCATCACTCAGACCCGTCTCATCTCAAGTCCCAGCGGCAGCCTCTTCCTCCTCTTCCTCCTCCTCATCTTCATCACTCGGACCCGTCTCATCTCAAATCCCAGCAGCAGCCTCTTCCTCCTCTTCCTCCTCCTCATCTTCATCACTCGGACCCGTCTCATCTCAAGTCCCAGCAGCAGCCTCTTCGTCCTCAGCATCAGAACCAGAGAGGAAGGTCAGATGGGCGGTCTGACAGGGGGCATCTGATAGCCCCAGAGGAACATGAGCTGCTGGAACAAGGCTCCCAGCAGAGATCTGAGATCAGAGATCTGAGATCAGAGATCAGCTTCTGGATCTAATGATGATAACGATGGACACCCAGATACTGCTCCATACCCCATCCATATAATCCCTAACCCAGATACGGCTCCATACCCCATCTATATAATCCCTGACCCAGATACGGCTCCATACCCCATCTATATAATCCCTGACCCAGATACGGCTCCATACCCAAACTATGTAATTCCCAACCCAGATACGGCTCCATACCCCATCTATATAATCCCTGACCCAGATACGGCTCCATACCCCATCTATATAATCCCTGACCCAGATACGGCTCCATACCCCATCTATATAATCCCTAACCCAGTTACGGCTCCATATCCCATCTATATAATCCCTAACCCAGATACGGCTCCATACCCCATCTATGTAATCCCTAACCCAGATACGGCTCCATACCCCATCTATATAATCCCTGACCCAGATACGGCTCCATACCCCATCTATATAATCCCTGACCCAGATACGGCTCCATACCCCATCTATATAATCCCTAACCCAGATATGGCTCCATACCCCATCTATATAATCCCTGACCCAGATACGGCTCCATACCCCATCTATATAATCCCTAACCCAGATATGGCTCCATACCCCATCTATATAATCCCTGACCCAGATACGGCTCCATACCCCATCTATATAATCCCTAACCCAGATACGGCTCCATACACCATCTATATAATCCCTAACCCAGATACGGCTCCATACACCATCTATATAATCCCTAACCCAGATACGGCTCCATACCCCATCTATATAATCCCTAACCCAGATACTGCTCCATACCCTATCTATATAATCCCTGACCCAGATACGGCTCTATACCCCATCTATATAATCCCTAACCCAGATATGGCTCCATACCCCATCTATATAATCCCTAACCCAGATATGGCTCCATACCCT